CACTGGAATGCGTTACCTAGGGAGGTGGTGGGATCTCCTTCCTTAGAAGTTTTTAAGGTCAGGCTTGACAAAGCCCTGGCTGGGATGATTTAATTGGGGATCGGACCTGCTTTGAGCAGGGGGTTGGACTAGATGACCTCTTGAGGTCCCTTCCAGCCCTGATATTCTATGATTCTATGAATGTCTACACTGCAATTTTACAGCCCTGTGAGCCCAAGTCAGCTGACCCTGGTCAGCAGCAGCCGTGCCAAGGGTCTTTGATTGCAGCGTAAACATACCTAGGGGGTTAAGATTAGTAGGGTCCGGCCTTAAGTTTTGATTCAGGAAACCTGTATGGGTGGTTATGGCTGTTGAAAATGCAGAGAGCAGAAATAACACAAGTTGACTTTCATATACCAGCTGGTGCTCCTGTTTAGGCATTTGAATTTATTTTGTAAATTGCACAGTTTAACAGAGGAATCACTGAAGGAAAATAAATATTGAAGAGAAAGAGATGTTGTGTTCCAAAATCAACTTTTTGACCATAGCTACGTTTTAAATAGCCCAGGAGCTAACCCTGCTCAATTGCTCTTTCCTCTTAGTAGCTCCTAATCAGTTGCCTACTGTATGTTGGATTGAGATTCACTTACTCATCACATGGGTCTAACAAATCTTTATTAAGGCAAAACACTCAGCAAGTGGTGATTAGAGTGACCGGATGTCCCGATTTTATAGGAACGGTCCCGATATTTGAGGCTTTTTCTTATATAGAAGCCTATTACCCCCCACCCCTTGCCCCGATTTTTCACACTTGCTGTCTGGTCACCCTAGTGGTGATCAGTTACTTACAAGTGAGGAGCTCATAAGGATGATCTCATCACAGTTGCCTTCAGCACCGGACAATACAGCTTCAACCCCCTTTCGTTTCACAGATATATTTCTAACTTTTTTTTTGGTATCTTTTCTTATACATATGTATTAGTCTCTGATTTCCATATCAACTCTCCTCCTGTCAGTACAGGTTTAGTTTTAGTTCAGGTGGGTCTTTTCTAGCTTTTTTAGTTACTTTGTCTTGTCTTTTTTCTTTTTCTCACAAACATGATTACTCTGCAATTTCATGACACATGCGCAGCACTAAGCATGATTGCTCTGCAGTGTTGTGCACGTGCGCACTTGTAGTTATGCTCATGCTGCTAAATGTTATCAGAGCAGACTCTTAAAATTCACAGCAGGCTTCTAACAGGTCCAAGGGTGCCTTTGCTCCCAACACCCTACATTATTTTTTCTGAAGTAAAATTGAACCTGAATTGTTCTATCGACACTACCACCTACTTTGTGAACTGTCCCTTCTATGTCAATACATTCCCGTCTCTTAACAATTGTAAGTGTGGCTTAAATTGTGTAAAATAAGTTGAAGGTTCTTTCTGTGTGACTGTTTCCATTACATTTGATTCAATTTCTGTTCTAGTCATTGATATACATCCAATAGGATGTTTGATTTATTCTGCCTCGTAAATTTACCCTGGCCAATTTGGAGAAAGTGTGAATCCCTAAATCTTTTTAGCTCTGATTCTGTTCTTATCTCCATTAACATCAGTGACATTTCTCCTGATTTACGTTGGTGTACGTGAGAGGCCTGGCAATTGGTTAAGTATTAATCTGATCTTAATCTAAGCAGTATTTTAAATGTATTACATTGGTCTCTGTGGCTCAACCAATTAATATGGCCAAAAATGGAGGCAGACATTAGTTTTCCATTACATCTTCATTGACACTTTCAGTAGATGCACATGCTCTTTTGTGAACCAAGGCAACAAATTAATTCATTTTTGAAGGGGGAATGTTTACGTCACTTTCTGTAACTTGTCTTAGCCATCATGTAACATATCTATTGTCTTGTACCTTTAAGTTCTGTACTTGAAACATGCCTTATTATTTACCTTACCATTGTGTCCAGTCTTCCTTTCACTATCTCCTCTTGCTGCTTTCTGTCCTTTAAATGTTTATATGAACTTGGTTACTGCCAAACCTTTTACAGATTGAAATAATACTTTTTTTATTCTCTCTCTATTTGTAGCCTTCAATGTTTAGGCCTCATTGATTTTTCACTGTTCTACCATCATGTCAAAATTATGTCTGCGATTGAACTTCTCTCTGCCCAAAGACTGGGCACCATTTAATTGGCGGATGGTCTTTGTGTGGGCTCTGAACACAAGGAGTGAATTTCATTATAGGTGCATATGCCCTAGTTCCTCTTGTTTTCTTTGTCATGCTTTTTGTAGCATAAACAGGAACCTGAGAATGATCCTCTGACTGACCTACTTATGTACATACTCAGCTACAGATGTAATAGTCAGGCTTCTTCAGAAGTAACTCCAATAAATGATCACCCTCTGGAGGGTTGGGTTTTGTTTTGTTTTTTGCCTTTTACTAGAGATTATTTCAGTCTACCTTCTTCAGTTATAACTTGCATCAGCATGAGCCCTGTTTTGTTGTTGGATGCTCAATTGTGACAGGTGGAGGAGGAATTATTTTCTTATCTAGGAAACATAGAAATCAGGCTTAAAAACAACCAAACCACTAAAAAACTTTTTTGGGGGGTTTGTTTAAAACATGATTCTGCTGCTATTGAAGTCGTCTCTCAGTGACTTCAGTGTCTGAGGATCAGATGCTTGTGGATAGACATTGCTCTGCCTGTAAACGGGTTGGTGCTTTTATTTTTAGGACAGTATGAATTGATCATATCAGATGATCCACTGAATATCTTGTTGGCTCAAAATGTTACGTCAAAACAAGTCACAGGCACAAAATTCCACTTTCCTGCTGCACCTTTTTTTTCAGACAGCCAAGTCCCCATTAAGTTTTGAATTATTGTAAAATGTTCCTTATCAATCAATCAATTAATGGGATTGCTTTGGATACTTGCTTGAACTTGCATCACCAATACCCCATTTCACATCCCTCTGTTCTCTTATCAAGCCTTGCATATTGTGACAAGGTGGTACTATAAAGCTTACAGTTGACAGAGGCAAGAACTGTTGCTAATATTGCACCAAAACCAAGAGAGATTCTACAGTGCAATGCATTAATTTAAAAAACCAGTGCACTGAAAACATTTTTATTTTTGTTCAGGATTTTGACCAGTCTTTGTTTTTTCGATTTTGCATGTATTGTACCGTCTTAGGAGAGAAGCATGAAGTAATCCTTCTGAGTATTATGGCGCACTATCCCACAGCAAACACTTGTCCTGCCAGTGCAAACTGAAGCATAATATATTACATCGTAGAAAATGTTACTGAATAAACTATGTAGACCCAGATTTTCAAAAATGCTCAGCACTCTGTTGTTCTCAGCAGGTGCTGCTGAATACTGAGCATGTTAGAAAATCTGGCCACTTAGGTGTCTTAATAGGCACTGAGGTTTCTTGCGAATTCTGGCCTGCAAGTGCATAGAGTGGTGATATTTTTGAAGTGAAAAACAAGAAATTTTTAATACTGTTATAACTTCCCCACTAGGTGAGAAAGGGAGATTGTAAGAAAATCTTTCCTCCATCAGTGTGGCTATGTTTGAGTAGTCTGTCTTCAAGTGTTTTACAGTATTTTAGAATTATTTCAAAAAAATCGAAGGCTTTGTAATAATATATGCATATGAGAGACTTAAACACCCTCCTGCCCATAACTCACCCTGTCCATCAGTGGCTCCTAGGTTTGTAGGGCTTGTGTGTAGTGTAGCCTGGGAAAAGATTTTTCATTGTTCAGAAGAAAAAAGATTCTGCAGCATTGATTTGTTAGTGTTTACAGAACCCACAAATGGTGATCCTAAAGGCATTCTGCAACAGCTGTTTACTTGACAGGAGTCTGGGGTATGTCCCTGGAGTGGGGTGGGAATATATATGGGGCTTTTCCATTGCTTTGATTTGTTACCTGTATATGAATATTTAATGCTGGGTGGTCCTGTTATTGTAGGTTTTATTAATTGACATGGCACTTAGATCTCTTCGTATGGTCGTTTTTAATGTTGTTTGGCTCTAAATATAAATAAACATATGAAGTGCACGATAACTCTAATAACACTCAGTACTTATCTGGTTAGAACTGTTACCACCTCTTGTGATTTTCTTGTGAATCTTGTAGTATTTGGTGGATTTTTTTTTTCTTAATGGTCTAGACCTTGGATTCATGAGAATACAAAAGAATTTTGGCTTTCATTTTTAAATTACAGTAAGTTTCTAGCCCTCCTGATTTCAGAGATAAGCTTGAAAACATGAACCCTAAAGGTTCAAAAGCCAGAAGGCAAACAAAAAGAACTCCAAATATGTTGTTTTAAAAATCTCTTTGTGTTTAAGCCAATCTCACGATATTGGGTGGCGGGGGGGAGGCCTGACTCAAGACTTTTGGATGCTTGGGTTTGGCAATACCGGACTAGACTGTGCCAAACTTCTCTATTTTGAGCCAATGACTTACTGATGAACAGTTTATGAAAGGCTGCATGTATTTGGATTACCTTTGTGGAGAAAGGACATTCTATCTATAATGTCCTTGTGAACTGTTCCATTCCTTTCTCAAAAGTATTATTTTTAGAGCCTTGTGCTGTGTTGTTCAATCAAATTGCATTACAAAGGCTGATGTCCAGAACGATTTGAATTATGTCAGCATAACAGTAAAGCAGCAAACATTTCAAAAAGGGCCTAATTGAGGACAATGTTTTCCCTCATGCATAACTGTTTATCCAGGGTTGGAAGGAAGAGAGGTACAGATGAGATACAAATTACATTCACTATATCTGTGAAAAAGAATACCGAGAAAAGGATAGTTTCTGTACAATGCTTGATGGAAAAAAAATATAGCATGTAAGGTGTGGATTGTTAAAGAGAAATGCCTCGTTCAGAACTTTTCGTTCTTTGCTGGTTGAGTCCCATCTTTCTAATATGAGAAACTGTTAGAAAATCAAATATTAGCTAAAGCTTAATGACATTTTGGCATTCCATACTTGATAGCTGTGCAATCTTTGCTGTTTTACAGGATGGTGAAAAACGCACCCCGCTTCATGTTGCGGCTTTTCTGGGAGATGCAGAGATCATTGAGCTCCTCATTTTGTCAGGTAATGTGAAATCTGAATTAGTCATCAACAGAGAAACCAATGTTACAAACTAAAGTGAATGCCCAAGGGAGGCCATCTTTAACTTATGCAGGTTAAATCCAGGCCCTGTCCATCTCTGTGTTCCAAGGAGCATTATGCTGTTTGCAGGATCAGAGAACCAGTTTAAATTGCTTGCTATAATTACATAACATGTACTCTGAGAATAACAAAATGAACCAAAACTACAAATTGTTACCAACTTGCAGTGGATTAAAACTATTTACTATTTGCGGATTCAGAAAACAAGTTTAGCACATGCTTAAGACCGTCCCTATTTAGTGAGGGACCTATGTGTTAACTCCTGATGTCTCCAGTGGGATTTAATCACATGCTTAAGTTTTTTGCTGCATAATGATAGATGTATCCTTATATGTAGATACAGTGTATGATGGGTGATTGAGCAGGGGAATGTCAAATCTCTCTTTGCATTGTTGTGCAATGTAAAGACTGAGACAGGGTATTGAGCACTGGACTGTGAATTTTTATCCCAGTGGTTGACACTGCCTACTTCTATGACCTCAGACAAGACACTTAACCCTTCTCTGTATTGATTTCCAATTTGCAATAGGAATAAAATACCCACCTACCTTTGTAGAGGCAATGTGATAAATAATTGGTTGTGCTTCAATATGATTTTGAAAATGAAAAGCACGATTGATAGTTGTCAAAATAAAAGGTAGAGTTGGCACCTCACAAGAAGAGTAGAAGGTTCATGGCTAATTCCTCAATGTGCCTGCAAATGTCCAAAGGTCATGTGTTTCTAAACCAGCTTGTTAAGAGTAGGGCTTATTGCACTACAGTAGCCTAATTGAGGGTGAGGAGGAAGATACAAGTTGAAAGAGTAAGGAGCACATATTAAAAATATAACTGTGTTGTAACAGGAAATAAATGCATCAACATCCTTGATGTGGTAAGAATTGAGTGCAGGCGTATATCTGATCGTCAAGCTCTTGAGATTCTGTAGCATTAAACAGCTACTGTTATGTGATATGTAGTCTAGAGATTGAGGCACATTATTGCATATATACACACACTGTATTATAAAAAGTAATTATTTAATTGCAAATTTGCCTTCTGAAGGGCAAATCTCAGATGAAGGTTTGGTTGTTCAGATGAGCAAATTTGGATGCTTACGTTGAATCTCTCTAGACAAGAATTTGGGCTTTAAATCTCACAAGAAAAAGCTCTGCTGCAAACTTCCCAGCACGTTTGCTGTTCTGGCAGGGAAGGAAATCTCTCGGGAATATAGCATTTCTACTGGGAACTAAATGCAGGAGGTGACGAGATTACCAAAAACTAGAAGTGGGGGTTGGAAACCTAGTTGAACTTATTACAACCTTGAAAAAAAAATGTTGTTTTTTAGTTGGGGCCAGAGTGTAAATTGGCTAAGATTTTATCTGAGTGTGGTTTGCCAGACGATAGCTTGCTTCCTCCAACTGAACGGAATATGGCAATATGGCATCAGACCATTGTTGTTGTAACTGAGTCTAGCTCTCTGCATCTGACTGCTGTTACTAAGCTAAAACAATAAAACTATTTTCAGATCAGATTCATGTGATGAATACACTATCAGTTCTGTGATGGATAAATGACTTGGCAATATCAAAGTTTGTAACAATAAACTGCAGCTTAATCAAACACCACTGCATTAGCCTGTGTGTGGTATTTTATGGAATAAGCAATATCTGTCAAGATTCCTACTGACATTTGCAGCATCTGCTCGAAGTTCCTATTCTGGCTTAATTGATGCACCAGTTATCAGTGATATGTACATCTTTAAATGCAACAGTAGCTGTAACAAAGCTCTTCCATTTAAATTTTGATGTTGCTGTTCTCCTACCAGATGTATGTTGTACAGACAGCTTGTAAGCGGAGTTTGCTGTCCAAAAAAAACGGTTGGAGAAAGCAAAAAAGGGATTCAACTAAATGAGAAAGTTTGTGCACGTTCCATCTGTCCATCATATATTTAGAAACCATGGGTTAGCCAATTGCTTTAGTCAAGGAACTTTAACTTCTGAGATTTTCACATGTGATCATCCAGTTATGTCATTGATCCCAGCAGAAAGACGCGAGTGAATATTATTACATTGACAGACTTATGATTGGATGGTTTCTCCAATACATTAGACGCAAACATGCCTCTCTTCAACAGGCGGTAAAGATTAATTACCTTCATTTTGACATGTGGTAATACAGCATGTAGCCATTGTCACATCTTGTTATTGTGAATTGTCAGCATGTGAGCCGGATGCAGAGGCATTATCTTTTCAAGGATTGCAAATAGCAGCACAAGGAAGATCTGTATGAATAAAGAGATGAGGTAGCTCTGACCCGTATCTCCCAAGAATTCCTGTGGCATCTCTAGTGCATTAGCTCGTGAAGATGTGGCCTTGCTGTGGAAAATACATTTCATTTCTTGATTTCCAGTGTGTTCCTTATGTGGGAAAGCATGTCTCCATGCTCTTCTAGGCAATATGAATTCAAATAAGTTACCAGCCAGACCTCATCCATTGGCTCTAGTATTTGTCTGGAGGATAGGATAAAATGCAGATGATGCGCCCAACTCTGTGAAATATCCAACGGGGGTTAAACAAAAAGAAACTAGCTCATAATTTAAGGTTTTAATGATTAGCCTTCATGCCAGCAGGGGTTCAGTTTGATTTGACTTAGTGGAGCACTACTAACATGGATACTTACATTCCCAGGGCTTGAGTCAGAGCTAATTCTGTATGTGGTATGTTCTACCTGGTCATCTCATTTTAGTCTCTGAAGTATCATCATTCATGACACACCAGTACTTGTACCCCCTTGGAAGAGAAAAGGTCTTTGTAAATTTCTGTGACATAGTGATCTGCCAGGGCTAGCCAAGCCAGAGCTTAGATCACAATAGCAATGTTTTCCCCTCGTTTCTCTTCTGCCTTCAGCACAACCCAATTTGTAAAATACTTCACAAAAGATTAATCTGATGATCACATTTAGCACTCTAAAAAGTGTACCTCTAATGCCCGACTTTAAAATCAGAGGACAGGCAGTATATTTAAAGAATAAAAGCATGGACTATTTACGGTCAGATTTGAACCACAATATTCTGAGCATGACAAGAAGCCAAGGAAAGTATCAGCCCCTTGCATTTCAGACGGGACTCAGGAGAGACATTCAGTGAAATATGCTCATACTGAGATTTGTAGTGCGTGAACTGGTGGTAGCACAAATAAATGTCGCCTCTAATGAATAAAGCTTGTGCCCTAGTGCACCGAGAAATACCAGAAATGGCATTCTAGATAACCATTAGAATAGGAGTGGATTCAGAATACATGGAAGACGTGGGGCCAGATCCTCAGTGGGTATAAATCAGCTGAGGATCTGGCCTGTAATATCTGGCTGAAATGGGGGAGTGTATTGTGAGTTTGTTTCATGTGCATTAAAACACATAGATCTGAGATTTGGATGTTACTGCCTTCTTCATGCCCTTTCCACAGAATAGGAAGTGCAGTCAGGTAGTAACCATCTGTTAGATTTATTTCGACAACCTGTAACCACTCCCAATCACGGACGTCCATGGAGAGCTGTCCAGACAAATAGAAACACAAGAGAGGAAATGTATTCCAGTGCAATTCATGGCTTCAAGGAAGTGGCACTGGTGTACAAAAGAGCAGAAATCTGATGTCCAGTCTCTGCCCTGAGGGGCTTGCTGTCTAAGGACTCTGTCAAACCTTTATGGCAGAACCACATGCAGTGTCATTAAGGCACTAAACATGGAGCCATGCTGCCCCGACAAAACTTCAGGAGGCACTGAACTTCCTGCCAGGCAAGGGGAGTGTAACCATGACCATTGCTTACGAGGACGCAGCATGCCCTCTTCTCCACATGGCTCTGCTGGCCAAGGCCTTTCATCCTCTCTGCTCCCTTTTGGTGCATCTCTACTCCTGTGCAGTCCTTGGACTCAAATGCTGCAGTTAGAATCATAGGACTGGAAGGGAGCTCGAGAGGTCATCTAATCCAGTCCCTTGCACTCATGGCAGGACTAATTATCTAGACCATTCCTGACAGGTCTAACCTGTCTAACCTGCTCTTAAAAATCTCCAATGATGGAGATTCCACAACCTCTGTAGGCAATTTAGTCCAGTGCTTAACCACCCTGACAGTTAGGAAGTTTTTCCTAATGTCCAACCTAAACCTCCCTTGCTGCAATTTAAGCCTGTTGCTTCTTGTCCCATCTTCAGAGGTTAAGAAAAACAATTTTTCTTCCTCCTCCTTGTAGCAACCTTTTACATACTTGAAAACTGTTATCACATCCCCTTTTAGTCTTCTCTTTTCAGGACTAAACCCAGTTTTTTCAATCTTCCCTCATAGGTCATGTTTTCTAGACCTTTAATCATTTTTGTCTCTCTTCTGTGGTCTCTCTCCAATTTGTCCACACCTTTCCTGAAATGTGGCGCCCAGAACTGGACACTCCAGTTGAGGTCACCTTAGTCCCGGATAATTGGGTACCATGGGTGAGACTGTCACTCCTGCTTCAGCTCATTTGCACTGGGTAAAAAGGCCAGAGCTGTATAAAGGGGGCTCTAAAATCTTTGTCTCCAGCCAGGGGAGAATTCCTTCAGTGCAAGACTGAGGAGGACAGGTAAAAAGCTGCCTTCTGAGGATCCCCCACTTAGAAAATACCCAGCTAAGAGCCCAGATTAACTTTGCAATGAAGACAGACCTACAGTTAGGTATACGTTTTCAAAAGTGTTCACTGACTTGAGGGTCCCTTTGTTTTTGGGTGCCCTAATTGAACACAGAGGGCCTGGATGTCAGAGGTTGACTTAAATGGGCAGTGTAGGTGTTCAGCACCAGAAAAGCATTGCCTAGGTGTTAAAGGTTGGCACCCAAAAACAGAGAGCATTTTTGAAAAAGTAGGCCTTCCCCTCTGTGTGACTCTGTTTTACCTTCTATACAATGTCCCATTTCCCCACCTTTAAGGAATGTGGAGAGTCTTTCTTAATAGTATTGAAAAGTACTTCGAGATCCTTGGATGGAAGCTGATGCTTAAAAGCACAACACCATATATCCTAGGCATTTGGTTAAACCAAACAAGGCGTATCGAGTGAAACATTTGAAAAGACAAACGTTTACAAATGTATGGTAGACTAAACTAGCTATGAATGAGCCATTCCACTCTGTTAGGTAAACAACACATTGAAAAACATACAGAGGGAAAGGATGTGGAAAACAGCAGAGAGAGATAAGATTGAGAACGTGCAGCATAATTTGTGTGTGTGTGTTGTGATCGTTTTGCTTTTATCTTTTTCTTTGGGGGTTTTCTAGGCAGCCGCCTATTCAGCTTCTTGATGGGTGAGTGGATCAGTGAAAGGCTTAACAAGCTACTGAAAGAAACAATTTCCTGGGTTTTCTAATCATCATCTTCTCAGATGCCACTATAGTTGCTGAATATTGAGGAATGATAAAACTGCTGATCACATAATGCTATTTGTCCCATAAGCTTTTCTGCTTTGGTATCATCTGCTCATGGGAGTTCTTGAATGGGTGAAGATAAATCAGGAGAACCTCAGTTAAAAAAAACTGAACCACAGAATAAATCGCTTGAAAAGAAATATTTGATGCCAGTCATTGGGATTTAGACCAGGCAGTTTGCATCTGACAACTCTGACTTATCCAAAACAGCGTAACACAAGGTACATTGGAATCCTAGATTAAAAGCTCCTTGAGGCAGAGACTGTCTTATGTTATGTGTTTGCACAGTGCCTAGCACAATGGGGCCCTGATCTATAATGGAGGACTATAGGCACCACTGCAATGTAAATAATAATCCTGTTATGAAGATCAAATAGGGTAACACCTCACTTCTGTTTTACTCATTATATCAGCATTATCTGTAAATGTAAATCCATCATCAATGAACTTCTCAAATCAAACATCTAACTTACTAAACCAGACATGTTTTGTATGGGTATAATAAGTTCCATTAGATGTAAAACTCCCAGGCCAGTCAGATTATAACTGTAGGTCTCTGTCAAGGTTCCTCCCCCACTCTGAACTCTAGGGTACAGATGTGGGGACCTGCGTGAAAAAACCTCCTAAGCTTATCTTTACTAGCTTAGGTCAAAACTTCCCCAAGGTACAAACTATTCCACCCGTTGTCCTTGGACTGGCCGCTACCACCACCAAACTAATACTGGTTACTGGGGAAGAGCTGTTTGGACGCGTCCTTCCCCCCAAAATACTTCCCAAAACCTTGCACCCCACTTCCTGGACAAGGTTTGGTAAAAAGCCTCACCAATTTGCCTAGGTGACTACAGACCCAGACCCTTGGATCTTAAGAACAATGAACAATCCTCCCAATACTTGCACCCCCCCTTTCCTGGGAAATGTTGGATAAAAAGCCTCACCAATTTGCATAGGTGACCACAGACCCAAACCCTTGGATCTGAGAACAATGAAAAAGCATTCAGTTTTCTTACAAGAAGACTTTTAATAAAAATAGGAGTAAATAGAAATAAAGAAATCCCCCCTGTAAAATCAGGATGGTAGATATCTTACAGGGTAATTAGATTCAAAAACATAGAGAACCCCTCTAGGCAAAACCTTAAGTTACAAAAAAGATCCACAGACAGAAATAGTTATTCTATTCAGCACAATTCTTTTCTCAGCCATTTAAAGAAATCATAATCTAACACATACCTAGCTAGATTACTTACTAAAAGTTCTAAGACTCCATTCCTGGTCTATCCCCGACAAAGACCAGCATATAGACAGACACACAGACCCTTTGTTTCTCTCCCTCCTCCCAGCTTTTGAAAGTATCTTGTCTCCTCATTGGTCATTTTGGTCAGGTGCCAGCGAGGTTACCTTTAGCTTCTTAACCCTTTACAGGTGAGAGGAGCTTTCCCCTGGCCAGGAGGGATTTCAAAGGGGTTTACCCTTCCCTTTATATTTATGACAGTCTCATATTGGCACTTTGACAAATTGTAATGTTATTTTTCTGAAGTCAGGTGATCCGGGAGGTTTGAAACCTTTTCCAACTTTTAAAACCTGAAAGGTAACCCAGAGAAATTGCTTCCACTCTGATCATTAGAACCAAATTCTCAATGACCATTACGAGTGAGGGGCAAACTTGTAAGCACCCATGAGCAGTGGGTTTTTGGAAAATACTTTTGGGGCTTTAGACCTTGAATGATCCACTACAGAAATTAAAACCAAAGTCCCTGTATTGGGTACATTATATGAGCTTAAGTTCTAGTGCAAAATTAGGTTAAAACATCCTTTTTGTTAGTGAAGAATTTGAAGGCTCGTTTGTGATATATGCAGGACGCTTATACTTGTCTAACACTTATCCAGTTGTATCCAGGACAGATTTGCAGACTACTCTGCTAATTTGTAAAACGTTCTGCTTTCAAACAATAACAACAATATTTTAAAATAAAGTGCTCTCTTTATTTTCTCTGCTCCCTCCAGTGATGTCTCGTTGTTTGCCTGAGTGCCTCAATGGATTGCTTTAAAATATTACTTAAAACTAAATTTGTGTCCCCACATGGATGTGCAAGCTCACTTTCTTAGTGTGTGTGTATTCTGTTGACCCACCCCACTCTAGCTGCCCCAAAACATCCTTGTTACCCCCTCCACTCAACAAGTGACCCAACAGTATTCAGCTGCCCAACCTTCCCCCGTTGCCCCTTTAAATAGTTCCCCAACACTTCCAACAAGCACTTCAAGTTGAAGAATCCTCTTCCTCCTCCTGCTGGATGAGTGACACTGGACTTGATCCTGAGATGTTAAATGCTGTCTGCTCCAAAAGTTGAGAGGCTCAGCAGCTTGCAGGATCAGGTCCCAGATCCCTACCTCAGTTGCCCAGTCTCCTGACATCCCTTGCACATTTGCCTGGTCCTAGGAAGACCCGCTAATCTTTGATAGACAACCTAGGCCTCCTACCCCCAGTTTACTGCTGAACCTTTCTCGTTTTTGAAAGTAAGGTAATTTTCTAAGAGTTAACAAAGTAGAAATAATCTGATGCTAGCAAGGTTGTGATAAATTCTGTGCATATCTATACGGCATAGCCCTTTGTTACCAAGAAACACATTAATATTATTATTGTTGTTGTTGTATTATTATTGTAGATATTACATCAAAAGCATGTCAATAATCTGTACTTTTTATTTGCAGGGGCTCGTGTCAATGCCAAGGACAATATGTGGCTGACCCCTCTTCATCGGGCTGTTGCCTCAAGGAGCGAAGTGAGTAAGGTTTGATTACCCCAGCAGTTGCATGCAAACAATGAAAAAAATACCATTACCACAATAAAGTATAAATGGAGATGCAAAAAAAAAAGAGGGGGGAAAGGATTTTCTGATTGCAAAATCCTTTGGTCTTCACTAAAGCAAGAGTAATCAGCTACTGTCTGTGTGTCGTTCTTATTGTTAGCCTGCTGGATACTTGTGGTTTTCCACTCCTGTGTATCTGATTGTTTTCCCGAATATGATGCCTTATTTAAGTTACTGTAGTACATGACCTACAATCAGTAGATAGAATGATCTTGACCTAAGTGGGAGATACTGTGCAGTGGTGCTGGTCTAATCACGTTAAAATGGTCAGACATAGTGGGGTAGGGGGAGGAGGTAAGCGGGAGGGATTGGAACGGGAGGGTGTGTCTCTAGTGATCAAACAGGCTTAATGTGTAGTTTGATTTGAATAACTGTGTTTAAAGGCATCCATAAAGCTTCCTTTTAATTCCCCTGATTCACCCATAAAATAGAGTTAAGTCCATATTTTTTCCATTTGGCAACAAGAAATCTTTCAGCATCTCACGGTAGTGTTTTTCATTGCTATCTCAAAAGAGGAGAGATAATAATTATCAGAGAGAATAACCCAAGCATGACTGAATTTTCAAGTATACCATCATTCTGGGCTTCCATTTGTGGCCTCTTTGTGTATTTTTATCCTCTTAATATTGAGCTGACATGATGCACGCAACTGCAGACTGAATTGGCTGCTGAGAGGAGCATTTAACACAGACATGAGCTGGCTGTCCTCCAGAAATTGATGGAATCACCTCCATAACAATCCCAGTGCTTGCCAAGCCTGGAGGCAGGAATCCTTAGCTCATTTCTGAACTCAAGCATTGCTTAGCTACTAGCTGAGCTTCCCAGCTGCTGGCTTCCAATGAAGCCCACTGAAAGAAATAGCTAATAGAATACGAATGCTGTAAAGGAGTGAAATACAAAAAAGCCACATTAAAAATAGAGGTCAGACATAAACCTTCAATAACAGCCACAATCTTTATAACCCAGTAATTACAACCAATATGGTTTAGCTGTTTTAGATACAGGTGAATTTTATCTGTTGTGACAGTCCTAGCTAAAAATGCATGTCTTATTGTGGCTTTGTGCCTGACCCTTAACCCCTTGCTGCTGAAAGCAAGTGAAGACCCTTTGCAGAGTTCCCGTTGAGCAGCTTTCTTTTCCATATTTCTGGTAATTCTAGCACTCCAAAAGGAATGATATCACAGGTACAGTATGTGAGGGAGCAATAGAAAAAGTGAGCTGACGCCCATGTAAATTGGCTAATCTTAATGTATATATTTTTATAGAAATGTAATTTTCATATGTTCTTTTTCCTTTGCTAATTCTTGTTCATGTGAAGGCCATTACTTTATGAACATTTTGAATGACATTTAGCATCATAAGATGTTTTTTAAATGCTGCCGTTATTGGTATTGCTATATTTGTGAAAATAAATCATTGCACAGGCTATCTGACAAATTTCCAACATGAGTACCATAATACCAGGTCAATATCCGCCATCCAGGGGGTTCTTGGGCCAAACGTTGACTGTTAGGCCTAATTATGTTTTGTCAAGTATCTGTGGGTTTAGTCCACTTTTAGAACAATCACCTGTAAGGCTAAGGTTTTATACAGAGAGAGTTGCTTATTCTGAAGCTTCCATTCAACACCTAGATTCTGTCTCTCTGCAACCATTTAGAGTCTGACAAAAACACATGCAAAAAATTTTGTATTGGATTTAAAACTCATTAAAACATAAAGTTGATTTCAGGGATTTAAACTGGTTATTTAAAAAACCACAAACCCTCAAATGTATCTGTACTGGCTACTTCATGTATGTATCAAATTTTAGCATTGTACAGTTAGAAGTGGTTGAGAGATTTCACTCTGATAATTGGATTATACTGCAAATGCTAAAAGAAATATAAATGCAGAGTCCTAAGCAGTACCATTGTACTAAATATATACATGGAAATTATGGTAAGATAAAGATCTATTTTACATCTTCAAAAGCCAGATAATTAAAAGTTGAGAGAAAAACACCTCCCTAAAGAATTGGAATAAAGTTTAGCTCCCAAGTGGAATGTAAATGGAATACATATGTAGATGTAAATGAAAGTGTATATACACATTTTTAAATGGAATTAAAAAATTACTTGTCAAGCCTTTATTTTTATTTTATTTTATTTTATTTGTACCTTCCAACACCTGTTTCTTTCTATCTCAAGAGTCAAATTTACATTCATTTTTCCATTGACTTCAAGTAGAATTTTGGTCCCAAAGGTGTACAAAGTGAATTTTCTTTAAGTAACTTTAAAGTAATTGGCCTGTAGTAATAATAATAATAATTAATAATAAAACCTCTAAGAGACTAATAATGATATATGATTATCAACACTTTAAGATAAGCAGTCTCACTTATTGTGTAAATTTGCTATACACCAATTTATGGGATTGCCATCGAAGATGAAATTGCTGAAATCAATAGAGGACAAAAGAGTTAAACTCTTACAGTAAATAGCTGTAGTGTCGATCCAGGCTGTGTGCGCTCTCCCAGGCACATGATGTGTACATATATGATGTATTTGTTGTACATTAATAAAACTTTGCCTAGCCTTAACAGAAAACATTTCTGTATGTGAAAAACAGTACTGTAGTGTATAGGAATATGGGTGTTTCCCTTTAAATGGTTGTGACTTATAGTTAGTAAATATGGTTATTTGGATCCCACTTGTTCCTTCACGTGGTTCCTTCATATTATGTTTGTGTAAAGAGCAAAAGAGACACAAAATACAATTTTTGAGAGTCCTCTTTTAAGATCCGATGAAGTGAGCTGTAGCTCACGAAAGCTCATGCTCAAATAAATTGGTTAGTCTCTAAGGTGCCACAAGTACTCCTTTTCCTCTTTTAAGACTATTTGTTTTGCCTAAGGACAGCTCTTACTAAGAGCTGAGGTAGGGTGACCAGATGACCCGATTTTATAGGGACAGTCCAGATATTTGGGGCTTTGTTTACATAGGTCCCTATTACTCCCCAGCCCCTGTCCTGATTTTTCATACTTGCTGTCCGGTCACCCTAAGCTGAGGAGAGCTGGTTGTAGCTTGTCCAACAGAATGTTTTTCTATTAGAAAATGCTGTTTTTCTGTTGGAAACATGTTATGGGAACAAGCTGATTTTTGTCAAAATTTTCCACTGTGAAGTAAAAATATTTCATTTTGACCATATCAAAAGGTTGTGTTGATAAGATTGAAATGTTTGTTCACGCTTTATTATTTCAACTATTATATTGTATTCTAAATTTTATAATATGAAGTCAGAATGAAATGTTTCAACCTTATCAAAATGAAATGTTTTGGGAATATTTCATTTCACAAAAAATGCTGTGATTTCTACATTTCTGCCTGACTCGTGATGAAATGAAATTTTGGAATTTCTTTCAGGATGAGATTTCCATTTTCCCATTAGTTCTAGAGTTGAGAGCATGCAGCGGGTCTGCAAATCAAGGAATTTATTTAGATGCCTGGCCTTATTTTCTGCCTAAATTTGTCTTTTAACTTCCAACTGCTGAAGCTGGAAACATTCAGATTAGAAATAAGTTGAAAACTTTAAACACTGAGGGTAATTAACCACTGGAATAATCTACATAAAGATGGGATGTATCCTCCATTACTTGAAGTCTTTAGATCAGGACTGGGTGTAGCTCAATCAGAAACTATGGGAATGATGCATGAATTGTTGAGCTTGTCTTCACTCCAGTTGTTAGCTGAACATAACATAAGAACGGCAATACTGGGTCAGACCAAAGGGCCATTTAGCCCAGTATCCTGTCTTCTGACAGTGGCCAATGCCAGGTGCCCCAGAGGGAATGAACAGAACAGGTAGTCATCAAGTGATCTAATCCCTATCACCCATTCCCAGCTTCTGGCAAACAGAGGCTATGGATAACTGGAGCTATAACTCATGTGTTGCCCCTACCCCATGCACACACACAAATCTCTAGCTTGAGTTAAGTTGCGCCTTAAACTCAAGCTAGTTACAGCCTGTCAGAGGTGGGTTGAAGCTTGAGTGCTGCTGATGCTCAAGCAAGTAATGCAGCGGGGATGCAGCATCTTGAGTTACAACTGATTAGCTGCTAATTCAGTCATTCTATGTAGCTTGCATGTTGTTTCAGGGCGTGGACGCTAGCTCAAGTGGAGTAACTTGAGTTAATTGTTGCGCTGAAGACAAACCCATGGTGTGAAATTTGATGACTTGTGTTATGCAGGAAGTCGAAGTAGCTTATCATAATGTTCCCTTTGGGTCTTAAAATCGATGAATTGAGGAACCCAAAGTTTTAATTAATTAGGGACCCCTTACTCCATGAGTAATGACTGCAGGATCAGGATTCATTTTTACAATATAAGGATTATTTACACAGCTGCTAGCCTCGACTTCTGTCTACATCTCCAAAGAATTTAAGGGGCAGTAAATGCTCTGATTTTCAGAGGTCTGTAGCACCTATAAATCCCACTGAAGTCACTGAGGGTGCTCAGCGCTTCTGAAAGTCTGACCACATTTACTATGATACAATTATTAAATCTAACTTAAGGCATCATATATATGTGTAATACACGTGTGTTTGTGTATAATATGAATATAAAATATGCAAATAATAGGCACGCTAATAAACTGCTTATTCTTCCTTTATCTAAAGTGATCCAATTGTGCAAATAATATGTGTGTCTAGAACTTTTTATAATACCTAGTTACGTTTTGTATAAATGCTATTGTATAATTGTACTTTTAACAAAAATATGTAGTACCATTCTATATGTGTTTAACATGACAAGACAAGCTTTCTGGTCCTTTTGATATTTTTTATGGCTAGATTATCCTTTGCTCAGGGTTGTAGCTAAAGGACCAAGGTGCACTGCCCCTGGCATAGTCTCAGGGGGCATTCTGCCTGAGACACCCTTCTGAGGCACAGTTCCACTACTGCTCCCATGTTGTCCTGGAGGGGGAATAATCTGCCACAGTACCCCTCTCAATGCCCAGCCCTTCCAACTAACTTGCTCATGGTGGGAGATGGGAATGATTAGCATACAATCTCCCTCTCCATGTCTCCTACCATGATACAAGCTGGTCTAATGCAGTCCTGTAGGGGTGACCCCACTACCACCCCGCATGGCTGAGTTAGATTCAGCCCCAACCCAGCCCATAGTGGTTGTGATGTTTTTAAAATGTCTTTTATTTTTTAGAATTTCAAATGGGAGAAAACAAACCTCTGTTCAACTGTGAGATTTCTAAATATATTATCCCTCTCCGCCCACCTAAGTATGGGTGGTACATATTTCCTTGGTCAAGAGATGTGCAATGTCTCAAATGGAAAACATGTAGTTTAATTTTGTTGGTATATGCACTTAAATTATCACTTGTAAAAATGAAGTTTTATCTAAAAGTGACAAAAAGCAAAAGAAATTCTGTGTTCCAAATGAGACACTTGATGTAAACTCTGGTCACTGGAAAAGGATAAGAGTGCTGACAGGCACTAAGGACATGAATGTCAGCTTAATCTGGTTTCAGAGGAACAGCTGTGTTAGTCTGTATTTGCAAAAAGAAAAGGAGTACTTGTGGCACCTTAGAGACTAACCAATTTATTTGAGCATGAGCTTTCGTGAGCTACAGCTCACTTCATCAGATGTATACCGTGGAAACTGCAGCAGACTTTATATACACACAGAGAATATGAAACAATACCTCCTCCCACCCCACTGTCCTGCTGGTAATAGCTTATCTAAAAAGAAAAGGAGTACTTGTGGCACCTTAGAGACTAACCAATTTATTTGAGCATGAGCTTTCGTGAGCTACAGCTCACTTCATCAGATGTTTACCGTGGAAACTGCAGCAGACTTTATATACATACAGAGAATATGAAACAATACCTCCTCCCACCCCACTGTCCTGCTGGTAATAGCTTATCTAAAGTGATCAACAGGTGGGCCATTTCCAGCACAAATCCAGGTTTTCTCACCCTCCACCCCCCACACAAATTCACTCTCCTGCTGGTGCTAGCCCATCCAAAGTGACAACTCTTTGCATAATCAAGTCGGGCTATTTCCTGCATAGATCAAGGTTTTCTCACATCCCCCCACCCCCATACACACACAAACTCACTCTCCTGCTGGTAATAGCTCATCTAAACTGACCACTCTCCAAGTTTAAATCCAAGTTAAACCAGAACATCTGGGGGGGGGGGGGGGGTAGGAAAAAACAAGAAGAAACAGGCTACCTTGCATAATGACTTAGCCACTCCCAGTCTCTATTTAAGCCTAAATTAATAGTATCCAATTTGCAAATGAACTCCAATTCAGCAGTTTCTCGCTGGAGTCTGGATTTGAAGTTTTTTTGTTTTAAGATAGCGACCTTCATGTCTGTGATTGCGTGACCAGAGAGATTGAAGTGTTCTCCAACTGGTTTATGAATGTTATAATTCTTGACATCTGATTTGTGTCCATTTATTCTTTTACGTAGAGACTGTCCAGTTTGAATTGGATACTATTAATTTAGGCTTAAATAGAGACTGGGAGTGGCTAAGTCATTATGCAAGGTAGCCTGTTTCTTCTTGTTTTTTCCTACCCCCCCCCCCCCCAGATGTTCTGGTTTAACTTGGATTTAAACTTGGAGAGTGGTCAGTTTAGATGAGCTATTACCAGCAGGAGAGTGAGTTTGTGTGTGTATGGGGGTGGGGGGATGTGAGAAAACCTTGATCTATGCAGGAAATAGCCCGACTTGATTATGCAAAGAGTTGTCACTTTGGATGGGCTAGCACCAGCAGGAGAGTGAATTTGTGTGGGGGGTGGAGGGTGAGAAAACCTGGATTTGTGCTGGAAATGGCCCACCTGTTGATCACTTTAGATAAGCTATTACCAGCAGGACAGTGGGGTGGGAGGAGGTATTGTTTCATATTCTCTGTATGTATATAAAGTCTGCTGCAGTTTCCACGGTAAACATCTGATGAAGTGAGCTGTAGCTCACGAAAGCTCATGCTCAAATAAATTGGTTAGTCTCTAAGGTGCCACAAGTACTCCTTTTCTTTTTGCGAATACAGACTAACACGGCTGTTCCTCTGAAGCTTATCTAAAGTGATCAACAGGTGGGCCATTTCCAGCACAAATCCAGGTTTTCTCACTCTCCACCCCCCCACACAAATTCACTCTCCTGCTGGTGCTAGCCCATCCAAAGTGACAACTCTTTACATAATCAAGTCGCCCGACTTGATTATGTAAAGAGTTGTCACTTTGGATCAAGTCGCCCTACTTGATTATGTAAAGAGTTGTCACTTTGGATGGGCTAGCACCAGCAGGAGAGTGAATTTGTGTGGGGGGGTGGAGGGTGAGAAAACCTGGATTTGTGCTGGAAATGGCCCACCTGTTGATCACTTTAGATAAGCTATTACCAGCAGGACAGTGGGGTGGGAGGAGGTATTGTTTCATATTCTCTGTGTGTATATAAAGTCTGCTGCAGTTTCCACGGTATACATCTGATGAAGTGAGCTGTAGCTCACGAAAGCTCATGCTCAAATAAATTGGTTAGTCTCTAAGGTGCCACAAGTACTCCTTTTCTTTTAGCTTAATCTGGGACTCTCACACGTTCTGAGCCTGAAATTTGTCGCCTGCACAATTAACTTGGATTTTTGTTCTCTCTGTCCTGTTATCACTGCTGCATATAGCAATTTTGTTTCGACCTTACTGTCCAAATAGTGCTTTATTTATTTTACAGATGAATTCATCATACACGATACTTACCCCATTTCAATCTCAGATACATTAAATACATTCATTTCCTCGAGTAGAACATGGCTATAATGTCTAGTGTTAAAGGTAGGTGGACCTATCTGGCACGGACCCAATCCTGCAGTTTTGCACACTCTAAAAACCAAAAGGAAAAGTTTGTGTAGGCTAGCAATGCAAGACTCTGCCTTAAATGATTACAAATATATATGAAGAAAGTTAAATGTATCACAATAAGATGACATGTAATACAAGGGCATTTGAATCAACAATTTCTTTCCCCTTCACCCCCCCCCCCACCAGAATATTTTTGAATGACTGTCTCTAGTTGTCTTTTTCCCTGCTCACATATGAGTTTTCTATGGCTACCAGTAACTCTCAAGAACCATTTTTTCCACACTTCACCATATGACGTGTAGAGAGAGATGTTTATACATAGACATGCCCTATATTTATTTTAATAGCATGTTTATAACTGTACTTCCATTGCAGGAAGCAGTGCAAGTATTGATTAAGCATTCAGCGGATGTTAATGCTCGGGACAAGAACTGGCAGACACCGTTGCATGTAGCAGCTGCAAACAAAGCAGTGAAGTGCGCAGAAGTAATCATTCCAATGCTGAGCAGTGTCAATGTCTCTGACAGAGGGGGGCGGACAGCGTTACACCATGCAGCTCTGAATGGCCACATTGAGGTAAGTGGCTGAGAAGCATTGTTGATTTAATTTATTGATTTGTGGCACTGTTGTCTAATTCAAAATAAAATGATGAGTTCATGTATCTCTGTATGACAAAGGTAGCTAGATATCCAACCTTCACTTATTAGAGACATTAGACCAACTTCTGCTCTCACTGGTGATACCTAACTGAAGTCAGTGGGCTGGTACCATTTGTAAATGCAAGCAACATTTGGTCCAATGTGTGATCCCATAGTTAACTGCCTGTGCAATACAGAACCTATGGGCACAATGAACTATGCAAAAATGATTGAAGAAGCATTCATTATCTCATAAGAGGAACACAAGCGTCTGGACTATGCACAAGTCAATCATTGTGCTTTTCTAATTAGCTTTCTAGAAAATTTGTTTCTGGTTTAAAAATAGACCATGCTACTTCCATTTACATTGCAGGAGTAAGTTTCTCTACAGCATACGTTCCCAAACTAGAGGGGTGTGAAATGTATTCTGGGGGTATGTGACAAGCTTTAGAAAAAAAACTTACTGCACACATTTTACCCACAGTAATGAATAGCTAGCTAAGCTAAGACCACACATCAGGTCTTCAGATGGTGCTGTGGAGTTGACTCTAGATGGTGCTGTGCATTTTGACAGATTTCTGTTGAGCTTGCGTAGCATGATACAAAGTCATTGCCATCTGTACGTTAACCCATGTGCTACGATGTGATGTGCACATTTAATTGTAAGCATCGACCACAATCAGTTTTGCTTTTTTGCTTTTATTACAATGGATTGTTGGCTTTGTCTCAATCAATGCCATACTGTTTTTAATATTTAGTGAGTCGCATGTTGATTTTTTAATCTGTATATGTACTTGTGTGTTGGTGGTGGGGGCATAAACTACTATAAACACAAAGAAGCGGGAGGTGCATTAAGATAAGTTCGAGAACCACTGCTCTTTAGTGTTCACTAAACCAGGGGTTCTCAATCTTTTTGGTTCAGAGTCCCCCCCTTTCCCTCCCCCTGCCAACATGATATAAAAACTCTATGGCCTACCTGTGCCACAATAACTGGTTTTCTGCATATAAAAGCCAGGGCCAGCCTTAGGGGGTAGCAAGCAGGGAAATTGCCAGGGCCCCACGAAACTAAGTTGCTCAGGCTTTGGCTTCAGCCCCAGGTAGTTGGGCTCAGGACCCTGGACTTCAGCCCCATGCAGTGGGGCTTCGGCTTTCTGCCCTGGGCCCCAGCAAGTCTAACGCTGGCCCCACTTGGAGGACCCCCTGAAATCTACTCGTGCCCCCGCACAGGGCCCCGGACCCCTGGTTGAAAACCACTGCACTAAACAATTACACCCTTATAAATTGAAAGCCACTGTATTAAGGTCCTGATCCCAGCACAGAGATCCATTGACATCAGGATGTAGGCCAGTGGTTCTCAGCCTGCAGGCTGCTTGCGGCCCAATCAGCACACAGCTGCGGCCCATGTGATATCCTCAGGGCCAGACAGGTAGTATATATAGTGTGTGGATGCAGCCCACGTAAGACATAGAGAGCTGCATATGTGGCCCACAATGGTAAATAGATTGAGAACCGCTGATCTAGGCCTAAGTGTGAATAAAAATTCTCCAACTGAGATTGATACAATTGACAAAAAATCAGAAGTTAATTTACTGTGTTGTAACTTACAAAAAGCAGCCTTCAGGTATTTGCTATAAAAGGAGTTATAGAGACCGCCCTTTTAAAAGTTTTATATTTTAGGAAAGAGTTAATATTTATCATTTTAACATGATTGACTTTCTTTGATGTAATGCCATTTAATGGTAGAGTGTAATAAAGTGCACAACTAATTATAGATTAAATAGTTTTAATAAAATCTCTGATTCATTTCGCCAATGAGCATTGAAGAGATTAAAGTGTTTGTTTTGCTGGATACAGAAAATCGTTGTATGTTTTACATTCAAATTGTTTTGTGTGTTTTTGCTTGTCCTGATATTAATGTCTGGATGGTGCTGGGAGATCTGGAATTTTTTATGTTTAGTCATCGCAACTGAAGCTTTGTACTTTCTGCTAGCTGTTTGCTGGCATATATGAAATGAGTTGGTCTGAGTCCCGTTGCTAGTGGGCAGGGGGTTACTTCAAGCAAGCCAGTATCGTGATAGTTAATAGCAAATGGCACACTTGTTGGCAGTGTCAGCAGAGGGAACAAGGACTGAAGGCTCGATCATGCTAGGCATGAAGGATTGGCCCCAATCCAGCAAAGTATCTAAGTGTGTAGTTAACTTTAAGTACATGAATAATTCCATTGACGTTAAGGGTTACTCACATGCTTAAAATTAAGCAGATGCTTGAGTGCTTTCCCAGCTCAAGGCCAGAGTGCCCAGCACCTTGTAGGATTGAGTCCTGAATAAGCATGCAGACTGAATTATCCTTTCACCTTTACAATGTTGTCCCTGTCGCTCAGGATTGAGATGCATTGGACGGGTAGCATGTAAAAGCGTGCAGTGCTGCTGCTCTGGTTTTGTGATTCCAGAGTGTCTCCCACTGCCATGAATCCAACATCTTCCACAATCACTAAATCCATACCATTTTAAAAAAATAAAGTATTGGAAGAGTTGCAATGTTGAACTAGAATGTACAAATGAAAACTCTTACCGGCATGTTTCAGGTGGGGTTGGGCCAGGCTGGGGAGTTTTGTGCCTTTTACAAAAAAAGCATACATTTTTAATGATTAGTTTAATTAAACTACAGGTTCCTGGAAGGGATTTTTAAACTATCTCTAATTTTAAGGCTTAAGTTTTCCTGTATAAACTTATGCTCATATCACACAAAGGCAAGTGTGATTTGCTCGGCAATTCACAACAATGTATTGCCCTCCGCCACAAGCATTACATCCAGGGTGACGGCATTATTTGATAGACTAATCCATGTAAATGGAATACATGGCTGACCCAAAGATTTACTTTTCATTGTTGTTTTAGATGGTGAACTTGCTTTTAGCCAAAGGGGCAAACATCAATGCTTTTGACAAAAAGGACAGGAGAGCTATTCATTGGGCAGCATATATGGGTAAGAACCGTGTTGTAGTCTGTTTTATTACTGAAGTACCGACACTGTGCTCTGTATTACACAAGACCCAGTTCCTGCCACGGAAAGTGAAAATTCTAATTACTCTGATTAAGGCTATGGGCTCAGATCATCAGCTGGTATCATAGACACAGCTCCATAGATTTCAGTGGAACTACACTGATTCATACCAGCTGAGAGTCTGGCCCAAAGTGTCCATCTAACATAACCTGAATATTTTTTTCGTATTACTTTTTTTTCAATTTCATTTTCTCTTCTGACTTTAATTCAAGCCTCAAATATATTTGGTATGAAAAATACATATTAAACTCTCCTTTGTCACAATTAGCGGTAGCGTAGATTTCAATAAGAACTAGGTTAGATAAAAACAATGAGGAGTCCTTGTGGCACCTTAGAGACTAACAAATTTATTTGGGCATAAACTTTCATGGGCTAGAACCCACTTCATCTGATGCATGGAGTGGAAAATACAGGAGCAGGTATAAATACATGAAAAGATGTGAGTTGCATTACCGAGTGTGAGGTCAGTCTAATGAGACAATCAGTTAACAGAAATGACTAGCACAAATGCAGTTAATATGCTTTTTCTGAAATCGTTGTTTTTCCTATTTGTCTCTTTATTCAGAACAAGTTGGGTTACTATGTAGCGGTAAAGTCCTATGTAATCATTTCCACTCTTAATTGTCTTCCTTCATCACAAGGCATCTCTTGATTCATGCATTCACATCATTGCTAATGTTCATCAAATTTGCTTTTTAAATTAATAGTTGACCATATCATCCCATCCATTTTAAAAATAAAATGTGCCATAGAATTCAATGGGAGCTCTGCTGTAAACATGGTAGAAATACAGGGACCATAATATTGGCCAGTGCTGTGCATGCCCTCGCACAATTCTACCACCACATCCCTTGATCTGCAATTCATGGGCCCTCAAACTGACTGCCACTGCACCTTCACTCCTGACCTGTAACGTTCACTTTAATTCTAATCTTGGTCCCTTATGGGAAAGAGATGACAAGTAGTTTCCAAACTGTGGGAAAATGTAGTGTAGTTTTGTGATGCCCACATATCGAATGTGAAGGCTGGCTTCTGACCTAGACTGGGATTTGAACTTCGCTCTGTAGAGATGAAAGATTTTCCAGCCTGTACAGCGTGCAGATTGTATGACACAGAAACGAGGTTGGGACTCAGACATTTGTAAATACCATGGGTATTATGGTGCCTTGCATATTTTGAGGTTAATAATGAATTTTTTTGGGGCGGGAGGGAGGCACATTCACTTACTACACTTGCTCACCTATAACATGATCGAAGCTCACTGGTGTCAATGGAAAGTCTCACATTTGGTTTCAAAATGCTTGGGATCAACCCCTTGACTAAGGTGGCCTAGTTATATCCTCTATAATAGAGGAAAACTCAGTCTTAACCAGGTAGTCGGCACAGTGTGGGTGGGGTCACCAGAGAGGCTAGTTAAATGCTATGTACTTATGCTCCAGTCAGGAGGTTCCTTTACTCAGAGCAGTTGCCAGAAAGATGACCATAGAAAGGACCTGGCAGCTGAATTAATAGATGGCATTGACAGAACCCTCTTCTGGGAATCTTTCAGTGCTGTCAGGCTGGTATGCTCACTCTTCCTTCTATTAACAGGGGAGTAGCATGTGAACAGGGTATGAAAGGGTAAAGAGAAGCATGGGGAACTTGTTCACTGGGCAGGGAATTGACACATTTTTCAGGACAAACACTCATTTCATCTGGATTCCTTAATGAGAAGTGTATGCTATGCCTGCTCGGTGTGGCAGTCTGTCCCCATCTAGTGGTGGCTAGGCCAGCTAGAGATGGATGAACCTGCTACAACCTTGGCTGGCAGAGATGTGTTTTTTAGGACGGGCAGTGGAGGCTGATGCCTTAAGATCAAGAGGTCCCAGGTTTGATCCCTGCTTCCCACTCCAAGTGGTGGCCCGTAGAGTAGGTGAAGTAGTGCAACCTATGCTCACAAGAAATCTCATAAACTGGAGGGATAAGCGACGTTGAACCGAATTTTTACATCCAGAGCCAGTTTATCCGGGGCTGTTAGAATGAGGCGTTACTGACTAACTTGAGGTCACAAAAAACTGGATGGAAATCTTGAAAAGAGGCATTCCATTTCCTCAGCTGCTGTAGCAGGCTCATCAATCTCTAGCTGGCCGAGTCACTACTAGAGGGGGACAGAATGCCACACCAAGCAGGCATGTCTTACACTAGGATTAAGGATATTTTCTTGCAAAATGAGTCGTCTGTGAGAGCATTTGTGAAGCAGAAGCAAAAAGAACAGTGAGTTAGGAAGAAAGCAGTAATTTGAGTAAATTACACTGTAGGAGCGTATAGGTCACTGATGATTTCCATTCCCCCATCTTTTAAAGGCCACCTGGAAGTTGTTGCCTTGCTGATTAACCATGGTGCAGAGGTGACTTGTAAGGACAAAAAGGGTTATACTCCACTTCATGCTGCTGCATCCAATGGGCAGATTAATGTAGTGAAACACCTTCTTAATCTAGGTGTAGAGGTAAGTAGCAATTGGTATTTTAAAGAAAAGCCACAAAATACTGAGGTTTGGGTCACTATTTGTAATCTTTTTATAATCTGTACTTTAATCATGGAAAATTCTCTGCTGCCCTGGCTTTTGTTCTCCTGTTTATTTGGAGATTTTGTCTGGCTGGTGATGCTGCTACAGACATTGGCAGAATTTTTGAAGAAACCATTTCCCATTCTTTGGATTACAGAATCTATCTCACACATTGGACAGCTTTCTAGGCCCAAATGCTGTGTGCAGTAGCTGCCAAGAGATGCAGATTTTGTGTGTGATCATCTGAGTGTCCATTCCCCAGCAGACTTAAAAATCTCTTGCAGGGACAAATAATCCCCTGAAATTGGGGAACATACAGCATTCGTGTCTGGGAAGCAGGGATAATGACTTGTGCCTTGTGTCTCCTTGACTTTGTAGAGTGTCATTGTTGACCTTGCTTCATCTAATTTTGTAGAACTACTAATTTCTACACAAGCAATCCAGAAAAGTCTGGATCTAAGATTTTCTTAATACCTTTATTATACTGTGGTACTGAGTATTGGCTTCTTATTAGGATGCAGTATAAAGGACTGTGTGGTTTCTTTGCCCCCCCCACCCCCCAAGAAATCTGTAGAGACAGACCTGAAGTCTGGCTAATCATTAAAATGAAACTGCAATAATTATTTTTAAAGGAACCTGAACTTATTATTTCTCCTACTTTCCTTCTTGGATGTAACAGCTTTCCAGTTTAGTTTTAGTTTCATTGTCATCATGAGATTGTCCTGCTGCCAGTCTTTAGCTTTACATTGACTTTTTAAAATGGCCACCAGGGCAAAAAGTTAATAATAAAAGCAAAACATTCAGAATGAAGCGTTACTGGGGTATTTCGTTGTCAATGAAAGTTGCTTATGAACACTGACCCATGACAATTCAAGCCTCCACCTATTTCCACTTGCAGCATGAGGTGCATTATGTAAAGCAGTGATGCTCAGACTGTGGCTCTCAAGCTGCAAGTGACTCTTTAGGGTGTCTCCTGTGGCTCTTTTCAGCACATGATATTAAAACACTGTGTGATTTAATAATTAACCAATCAGGGTGCTTTTACTATGTTATTAATCAATTAAGTTATGAATTGGCACTATGTTATTAACTTATTTGCTGTGAGAATAATATATGTATATAGTTTAGATAGATATAAACTAAATATTTCCCACTCATACTATTTTGGCTCTTTTGGATAGTGTTGATCTCTCATTTGGCTCATGAGCCACTGAGGTCTGAGAATCATTGATGAAAAGCCACGAGCTGATGTCTGTCATTTTAACTGTATGTTCTTGTCTCATTGCAGATTGATGAAATGAATGTCTACGGAAATACTGCGCTTCACATTGCGTGTTATAATGGTCAGGATTCTGTAGTTAATGAGTTGATTGACTATGGTGCTAATGTTAATCAGCCTAATAACAGTGGATTTACCCCCTTGCATTTTGCTGCTGCCTCCACTCATGGAGCTTTGTGTCTTGAACTGCTAGTGAATAATGGAGCAGACGTTAATATTCAGGTACAGCTTACCTTTCATCTCTTCAATTTTAGCTGCCTAAATATCTATCCCCTTTTGGTTTAAAATCTCTGCATGCCACAAGAGGCTGCAAGTGAGAATAACAAAACGCAGTGTTACTGTAAAATCTTCAGGGAATTGGCTGATGGAATAACACAGTGCTGCTGGGAGTTCGAATTAAGTTTTCTTCATGGGAAGCTCATAGTGCCTTGATTGATATGATATAATGGCACCCTGAAACTCAAGGCCAATCAGTTTCTGAGGACTTGCGCTGTTACTTAAGTACAATCCCAGAAGTGCAGTCAAGACCACATCCAGTGGGCTACAGTTATCACAGAAATAATTATTTTGGGTATTCCCCCTAAAAATGTGTTCAACACAGTTCTGCATGTTCCTCTGGGCTTCTGTCGAGTAGTAAAAATGTCAGGTACAGTCCCAGCACAATAGGGCCCCAATCCTGTTTGGGACCTCTATATGCTATTGTATCACAAATAATACTTAATGATGATCAGGGAATTCTGACTCCAACCCAGGAGCCAGAAGAGCTGGATTCTATTGCTGTATTTGTGACCGACTTGTGGTGTGACCTCTTGCAAGTCACTTAAATCTGTGCCTCCATTTCCCCATCTGTAAAATGGAAATAATAGTACTTACCCACCTTTGTAAAGTTTTTTGAAATTAATAGATGCTCAGTAATCAGTATTATTTTATTAAAATAAAGTTGGGAATTGCGTTTGAAAATGAATCCAAAGCCTGATTCAAATAAAGAAGGGATAGCTTGAGTCATCAGGTTCCACATCCTTCCTCTGTTCCTCTTCAGGCTCCCTGTCAATATTCCTAGACAGAAGTCCTTTTCCTTGGCTCCAAAACTTTGACCATTAGACATTCTACCTTTCCTTAACTGTTTGCACCTGCTTTCTAATGGTCTTTGATGGACATCCAGTTTTTCTTTGGGTAGTAGTTTATTAACCAAAGCTCTTTTCTTTATGTAGTGGACTGCATTTTAATGTGTGTCTATTTAAATTGAAAAATAGTTTGTATTTGTTTACACTTTCCAGGGACTGCTGAAACTTAGCTCTGTGTTTTTCCTGGCTTTTCCCCAAGCAATATGGAAGATAAGGAAATACTGTGAGAATTATTCATAATGTTTAGAAAGTAAATAACACTCAGGAATATAACACTTATCTATTACCAATTTGGACCATGTACCCCACATTGGTGGAATATTTCTGAAAATTTATTCACAACAACGACTGCCTTATTTCCCACTCCCATTGCTGAAGAAGGTCTGACACCTACAGAAAAAAGGCATTCTGCATGTATCCTCATATGAATCTTGGGTTCAGCCCTACAGCGCTTTAAACTTGATGGAAGTTTGGTCTGAGTAAGAACTGCAGGATTGAGCTCTAGTTACTTTTATTATTTCAAGCTGTTGATAGTATTTTGAAACTCGACATTGATGGCATTACTTTATACTGTAGGTAAGTGTCTTTCATTTTGTTTTTGTTAGAGTAAAGATGGCAAGAGTCCACTGCACATGACAGCTGTCCACGGGAGGTTCACACGGTCGCAAACCCTCATTCAGAATGGTAAGTTAAGTCTTTCTGATAATTAATTAATCAGCAATGATCTGCTCAGAGCTTTTTCCAAGCCACTTACTGGCTGGAGGGGGCAGTTTGTTGTTCTGTGCTAAAATGCTGAGGGACCAAAATTCAATGGTATTTAAGTACTCTAATGAAATCTGATGGCTAGCGAGTCCGAAAGCTCTCATTTAATAATGCGATCTTAGACAAAGCCTATAATTAATCAAGAAATCCCATTCTCCACCAGCAGACAGTGGTCTGTGATTTGTGTGTTTGTGTTTCCTGACCTGAAAATGAAAGCAAAAGCAGCGTTCAGATTCTTTATCTTTCAGAAGAGGCCACAACTTGCTTCTTAAAACAAGCTTTAAAAAAAAAAAAAAAAAGAGGTTAGCAATTTTTCCACTTCCAGGAGTCCTCCACACCTCTGGACCTCTAAGGATCTCTTTTCCCATGCTCTCCCCTCACTTCTTAAAGATCATAATTCCATTATAGCCATAAGGAGTAAATACTCTCTTCCTTGATGGCCTGGAGAAGACATATTTGTGCAATGCTTTTCTTCTCCCCTGCCCCCTCTGCCTTTTGGACTAAGCCTGTTACCCCTACAGCCCTCCTTCCGTTCCAGGATATGAAGATGTGATAATTATTCATATTTTATACAACTACATCTTTATTTGTATGAAATTATAAATCATTCGGCTTCAAACCATGGAATAAAGTGCATTTTTTTCTTGTATGTGCCTAGGGAGTGTTGAAATTCAGCTCCTGCCACCCCCCATGTCCTCCAGAAATATTCAGTATTCCCCAACTGGCTGGAACATGGCTAAGCTTTGCAGGGAGAGTTCTGATAAACATTAGGGGCACATTTTCCAAGTGGCATCAGCCCAGCTTCTTAATTTTTGTCTTCAAATTTTACTCACCCAGAAATGGGGATTTCCTGCACTGAGTAAAGGCCCAGTCAAAACAGTCCTACCTATAACATTTTGTCATTTTACTCTTCTCCTTTTCTGTGTTCATTTTTGTCTGTTCAGATTGCAACCTCTTCAGGGCAGTTACCAGTCTTCTTTCTTGTGCATAAAGCACCTAACACATGCTAAATTGTTCTCCTATATCAAATATAATAACCCTGCAGTTTGTCCTGTTATACTACTGTTATTTACCCTTTAGATCATGGTAGCATTCACAGAAGTCAACCAGATGGAAACACCATTGTATGCATCCGATGAAGTGAGCTGTAGCTCACGAAAGCTTATGCTCAGATAAATTGGTTAGTCTCTAAGGTGCCACAAGTACTCCTTTTCTTTTTGTAAACTGTGAAGGGCTTTGAAGACTAGAACAAGACATTAGTGTTTGATGTGGTGGAAGAGGGGGATTTAGCGGAGGAACTTAAAGGGTGTGTGTGAGAGAGAAAGAGAGAGAGAGAGTGAGTGTGACATAGGCAGACCAACAAGCCAGGAAATGGGTGGTGCAAGGTGGCAGGCTTCAAGGCTAGAGAAGACACAGTAGTCAAGGCATAAGATTATCACACTTTAGGCAAGAGTCTTGGCTGTATGGGGAGAGAGGAAAAGTCAGCTCTCATAGACATTGCGCAGAAAGAAGGGGCCAGATCTCAATGTGGCCTGGATGTGAAGCCCAAAAAAGAGAGCTAAGTCAGAGATGAAGCTGAGATTATGGGTTTGAGTGACAGGGAAGAGGGTGGGATACGCCTGTCTTGATATAGGAAGGGGCGAGTCTATAAAAGTAATGAGTTCCTGCTTCTTCCATTCAGATCATGTAGAGGAGCTGTGAGCTCTTCTGAAAATCAGGCCCAGTTATGTCTCAAATTAGGCATCCAAAAATTGAGGCACCAAAAATCAGTGACTACTCTTGAAAATGTTCTCAGTGTCAGATATGTAGTTGCAGTTTGGTTTAATTGCATTAAATTTAATTTAATCAGACGTCATTTGTAACCTCTGGGGACGACAGTATGGGTATTGTGGGCTGTGTCACAAAAATAAGATAATAAATAGCCAAAGGTGCGAGTCAGCTGGCCAGAAAAATATGGAATGGAGCCAAGGATGTAGTTAGCAGAAATAGCTCCCTTTCCCACCTACTGTGTCCGAAAGAGCCTTGAGGGTGAATAACCATCTGAAAATTAAGGCAGAAGGTTACAACTTTCGATGGTAACAACCTGTAAAGGGATGGAGTATAAAATATGGTAACAATTTGTTCTTGTCATTTAAATTTCTCCCACATGTCTGTGAGGACTTTGCTAGGTGACTTAGTACAGCAGGATATTGACACCGATCTGGTCACTCTCAGACAGAACTAGCTTTATTTGTACAGTCAATTTTTATGACATCCGCTTATACCTGAAAATACAAAAGTATTTAACCCTGGTGTCATAGCTTAATCAAGCTGTTAATGTTTTGATCAGAAGTCCCCATTCACATACCTTGTCAGCTACTGTTTGTGTTGAGTATGAATGTTGGAGACATCTGATAAGTCTTCAAATTATTGTCCGTGTAATGTTAAATCACTGTTTTATTGTTGAGATAGGTAGAGGCTTAGATGAGACTATAAGGCTGATTTGATTCAGCAGTGTTCTCTCACTGATCTTCTTTCAGTAAGATTTGCAGCTGAGTGATCTTTTGTTTTTGTTGGGTCCTATGACTAAGAAGTGAAGTTGTATTAATGAAACACTTTGGGGACCACCAGTGTACATGTCATGACTTACATTTTTGCCCTAGTACTGTCCAACTTAAAATAAATCACGTGATTTAGAAGAGCACCAAGGGTGATGGATCCACTAGAAATGCTGGATGTGTGAGTGAATACTAGTTCTCGATTGTAATAATCCTAATTCTTAGCACTTATATAGCAGTTTCCATGTGTAAACATCAATGTGCTTTACAAAGGTGCGCAGGTGTTGCTTATCCTTATTTTAGGGTAGTTATCCTTGTTCTATGACAGAAGATAGAGAGGTGAAATAAATTGGCCAGTGTCACAGAATGTGTCAGTGGCGGAGTCGGGAATAGAATTCCGGTGTCTTGATTCTGTCATATATTTTTTAAAAATACCTTACCCATGTTTCTAACTATACCCTAAATTTTTACAAGGGGAAAGAATAAAAAATCTGGTTTATGCCTCATAGGCTTGTCAGGCTGACATTGATCCCAGGCAAGATAATGAAGCGGCTGATGCAGGATTTGATTAATAAAGAATTAAAGTAGGGTAATATAATTAATGCCCATCAACATAGGATTATGGAAAATAGATCCTGTCAAACTAACTGGATATCTTTTTATGAGATTACAGGTTTGGATGATAAAAGTAATAGTGTTGATGTAATATACTTAAGACTTCTGTAAGGAGTTTGACTTGGTACTGCATGGCATTTTGATTATAAAATTAACATGGCATAACATTTTAAATGGATTAAAAGCTGGCTAACTGATAGTTCTCAAAATGTAATTGTAAATGGAGAATCATCATCAAAAGGATGTGTTTCCAGTGTAGTTCCCACAAGGATTAGTTCACTATTTAACATTTCTATCAATGACCTGGAAGAAAACATAAAATCATCACTGAAAGTTTTGCAGATGACACAAAAATTGGGGGAGTGGTAAAGAATGATGAGGACAGACAGTGATGAGCTGCCAAAAGCTGAAGAACCGGTTCCTTCAGTCGCTCCGGGTCTTCGGCGGCACTGAAGGACCCACCGCCGAAGACCCGGAGCTCCGCCGGGTGAGTAAAAATGAAAAAGGGATTCTCAGGGGAGCCTCCCCAGCTGAGAGCTCAGGTGGACCAGACAGGACAGTCCTGCGGGCCAGATGTGGCCCGCAGGCTGGAGTTTGCCCACCCCTTTAACAACCAGTTCAAAAACCGGCTTCAAAATTTAACAACCGGTTTGTGCGAACCGGATATAGCTCGCCGCTGAGGACAGGTCTCTGATACAGAGCGATCTGGATTGCTTGGTAAACCAGGCTCAAGCAAACAATATGTGTTTTAATATGGCTAAGTGCTGTATACATCTAGGGAGAAAAAATGTAGGCCATACATACATGATGGGGGACTTTATCCTGGGAAGCAGTGACTCTGAAAAAGATTTGAGGGCTGTGGTGGATAATCACTGAACACGAGTTCCCAGTGTGATGCTGTGGCCAAATTTTCTAATGAAATCATTGAATGCATGAATGGGAATCTTGAGTAGGAATAGAGAGGTTGTTTTAACTTTGTATTTGGCACTCATGTGACCACTGGCAGAATACTGTGTCCAGTTCTGGTGTTCACAATTCAAGAAGGGTGTTGATAATTTGGAGAGGGTTCAGAGAAGTGCCATGAAAATGACTAAAAGATTAGAAAACATGCTTTATAGTGATAGACTCAAAGAGCTCAATCTATTTAGCGTAACAAAGAGAAGGTTAAGGGGTGAATTGATTGCAGTCTGTAAGTACCTAAACAAGGAACAAATATTTAATAATAGGCTTTTCAGTAAAGCAGAGAAAGGTATAACACGATCCAATGGCTGGAGGTTGAAGTTAGACAAATTCAGACAGGAAATAAGGTATAAATTTTTAACTGGTAGAATAATTAACCATTGGAATAATTTACCAAGGGTCATGGTAGATTCTCCACCACTGACAATTGGTAAATCAAGATTGGATGTTTTTCTAAAAGATCTGCTCTGAGAATTATTTGGGGGAAATTCTATGACCTGTGCTACACAGGAGGTCAGACTAGATGATCACAGTGGTCCTTTCTGACCTTAGCATCTATGAACCAGCTAGAAGATCATCTAATGTAGTGGTGTTTAAACTTCTTAATATTGAGGATCGTGTCTTTGGATAGAGATTCTCTTGGAGGGTTTGTCACGGAGTCCCTGGGCGATGCTCTGGAACTGCTCCCCATGAAGCCAGTCAGGACTCTGGGGCAGTCGCCTTTCTGTGAGCAGCCTGTCTTCAGGACACGCAGCTCACACAGCTTCCACCTTCCTGGGTCTGACCTCGGAGCATTCAGCATCCTCTGCCCCTCCGTGCGCTTCCCCCAGCGAGTCCGCCCAGGCGGGGTCCTGGGGAAGCCAGAGGGTCCTGCACCCCAACTTCGCAGTCAGACGTGACTCTCAGCCAGCCAGTAAAACAGAAGGTTTATTAGACGACAGGAACATGGTCTAAAACAGAGCTTGCAGGTGCAGAGAACGGGATCCCTCAGCTGGGTCCATTTTGGGGGGCAGTGAGCCAGACAACCACGTCTGCACTTCACTCCATGTCCCAGCCAGCCCCAAACTGAAAAACCCCCTCCAGCCCCTCCTCCTCTGGGCTTTGTTCCTTTCCCGGGCCAGGTGGTCACCTGATTCCTTTGTTCTCCAACCCTTCAGCTCTCACCTTGCAGGGGGGAAGGGCCCAGGCCATCAGTTGCCAGGAAACAGGGTGTCGGCCATTCTCTGTGTCCAGACTCCTGCACACACCTGCCCTCTAGGGCTCTGCAATGATCATACACCCTTACTCCACCCCCTAGATACTTAAGAACTGCCTAGGGGAAACTGAGGCACCCCCCCACTATTCAGAGGAAACATTAAGAACAGTCCCACTTCGTCACAGGGTTATCTTCCCTTCTGACTGCCTAAAGCTGTGGCAAGTATAGTGGTTGTTTCATGAAATAGTGATGTTACCAAAGGGTTATGGAGACAAGCTGAAAGTAAACCTGCTTTAGTGTTGTGGATTGGGCTGTTTGGTTAAATACACTCTCTCCCCCACCTGTATTTTGTATCTATGCTGTTTATTTTCTCTCTTTGTGTATAAACCTTCTCTTACAGCCTGCAGCTCTCTCTGCTCTACTCCAGGTTACTTTGCATTCGGTTCTCTCTTCCTGTGTGTCTTGCTGCACCTACAGTTGTGTTGTGGCATGTAGGTTTGATTAGAGATGAATTTACACCTGAAGAAGCATGTGACAAACAAAGATAGGAAGCAGCTATGCAAGTGCTTGGGGTTTTCTGTTTGTGAAAACCCTGAGAGAGCTGTAGGTTGGGCTACAGCTACCAGGCAGCACCACTGATCAAATATTGACAGACTTGGTGAGGGTGCAATAAGCAGCCAAGTGAGGAAGAGCTCCATCTTCTATCATTGCTTTGTGGACAAGGTTGAGCACCAGTCACCTAAAGAATTGTGGCAAAATTTCAACAATTATAAATTCTGTTGATGTAATTTAGGGCAGCTGCTCATGCCTTTAAATCAGCAACAATTCAGAGTCACAGCAACACCTGCAGTATCTGTGTACCACAGTAGGCAATTATAGGGAAAGGCCTATGTGCAATATGTAGAGAGGCGGGAATAGAACAAAGTAAAAAAACTGCAGCAGTCAGAATTGTGGCCATCCTGCATGACTGGCACAGTAAATGGCTTGATGTGTATTGATACCCTGTCCCACAAATTCAGTGTGTCTGCTGCTCGTATACAAACTAAACTACAGCTGTAACTATGAGGGTAAGCTGCATTCATTGGAAATAAATAAATGGTATTTCTGGTCGCTGACTCGCACTAAATCCTTGTGTGTTACACTGTGTGAAAATGTCTTTTCCAGGAGGTGAAATTGACTGTGTTGATAAGGATGGCAACACCCCTCTGCATGTGGCTGCGAGATATGGACATGAGCTTTTGATTAACACCCTAATAACGAGCGGAGCTGATGCTGCCAAGTAGGTTGCTGAAGAAATGCTGTTCCTAATGGTCAAGTATTATGGGTAATGCTAGATAATGCTTATTTTTCAAGTTCCAGTGTATTCAGGTTAAAATGCATGTGCATAATTATGAATTCAGTAACAAATAGTTTGTATCAGGAAGTCAATTTGAAATCAGTATAAAATACAAAGCTACTAATGAAGGGCATGTAATTCCCTCAGTGTCTAAAATAAATAATTTACGTCCATAGGCTTGTAGTACTAAATTGATTTATTCCTTTATCTAGTATCCATTGGTGCTGGATAAGTATCATTAGAAATGGTAAAAGACAAAGCAGGGTTTAGTCAGTAAAATTATTTCAGAACCTAATGCAGCCGTGGTGCCCAGTCTTTGTGTCTTATGGTTTCAGATCTTCAACTGGCTGAGATGATGAGGCTGATTTTGTTTTGCGGTTTTCTTGAGTGAAACTAAGAGATAAATTTTGATATGTTGTTCAGCTCTTTGTGCTCCAAGGGATTGATTTGGCTAGGCTGATTTTATTCTGTGTTTGTGTGTGTATGAGAGAGAGACTGCGTTTGACTATGTTCATGATTACATATATGTATACATATTGTGGGCCAAATCCTGGGAGGTGCATTGATTTCAGTGAGAGTTGGGCATTTAGCACCTCCTAGAACCTTGCCCTAAAGCAGTGATGTAACAGAGCACTAAATTTCCAAACTAGTTGCGGGAAGAGTAAAATTAACTGTGAAAGGGAAAAGAGATGGTATTTGGGCCAGCCTGGTGGCCACAGGGTAATGCCAGGGAGGAGACCTGGTTTAGATATCTAATGTGAATCTCTTGTTCCCTGAACAAGTAGGGAACAGAGAAAGCTAATTATTTGCCCATCTCTGTGAATGAAGCACCGTAAAGGTTGTTATAAATGTTTTGTAGTATTCACCGTATACATCTGAACATGCAATTGAGTGTTTCCTCACTAGAACCAACCAGCAGTATTTGTGATGCCTAATACTGCGGTAGCTGCTGGGGAACATCCTGTTTTAGGACCCACGTCAACCTATTTTCTTTTTAAAGATGTTTGCAGTTTTCTAGGCTTTTCATTTGGAGATTTTGAAATAAGTATTTTTTCACCACGTTTTGCTATCTGTTTTGTTAAAACTGCTTCTTGCCGGACAAAAAAGGCAGGGTCAGATTTATGCCAGCTTGAGAATCTGGTCCTTTGTGTCTAAATATGATTTTTGCTAGCTCTGTCTAATATATAAAGTTTCAGTCCATCTGTTTTCTGAGGTTTAAGGTAACAATGAATAGCAGTGAGATAACTAGCTCTTGCAATCTAGGTTTTCTGCTCAAAATTTCTATTTCACACTTGGGTGACCTGTGCATTGATCAAATAAAATACCTCTGCCAACAGCAGAAATATCTGAAGTGAGAAATCTGCTTAGATACAGTAGGCAGATCCAAGTGATGGCACTGTTCTGAAAATGAAATTACCTACCCAGTACTGCCAGAGGGAATGAGTTTTTAATGTGTTGTATGCAAATAACTTTGGCTTAATTCCTTGAACTGGCATTGAAAAGAGAGAATTTCTTCAGTGCTGCTAGCAGAAACTGCAGACAGCAAGGTCAGCAATTTGATGCAATTGCATTTCAGGGGTATGGAAGATAAATAATGTAGGGAGCAGTTGTGAGCAGCTCTATACAGTATGGCACTGGCTAGCAGATGTGCAAATTGCATCTCTTGATGGACACCAGCCAAAATATGCACTCGGGTGGAAACCTCTATACAGTGATGGGGAAATGTGGCTTGAGATAACTAGGGGGGAAGGGGAAATAGATGTAAAAATCAGAGATGCATGGAGAATACTATGACTATATATAATAAATCCTCTTTGTGATTTCAGGTTAAATAAATATATCCACAGCTTAGAAATGCAACCTGTTTAGACAGACTTGAGCAGCTTGGTGGAGCTTGTGCTATTTCCTTTCAAAGAATAGAGTGTCAGAGCATCCTTGGGCAGGTTTACTCTGTGGGAGATCTAGATGCTGGCAGGGCATTGATTAAATTAAATTTATACAGCACTGTAGATCAGTTCTGATTGTGGTCAAGTAGGAAGGTTGACAAATGCAATGTGAAAGGAAAAGAGGAATGGGAATACAGATTTTGCAACAAATCATATTTTTTTTTAAAAAAACTACACTCGTGTTTATGTGCATAGTAAAAATGTATATGGTGTGAGAGAGAAAGAGAGCACATATTTGAACAAACTTCCTCCTGGGTTGTAGGCACAGCTACACATTTTGCAGTTTCAGCTCAGTTGCCACTTTTTGTAAATTTAAGCCTTTGTGTTAGAGTTGGATTTTAAACAGCTTATCCTGGTATAAATATGAAATAACTTTCATTAAAGCTTTGTAGTTCTCTAAGAATTTTCCTGCCACCAAATCTTTCATGAAAACAAGTTCCTTCGGGTCCATATCTGAAATCCTGCCTAATGATATGATCATGTTACGTATATTCTTGGGTTGTCTTGAAGAAATTGAGTGATGGCTATGAATCCATCTGGTGTCATCCAGGACTTTAATTAACTGTTTTTAGCTGCATCTGCAAAAGCAAACAGTAGATTCTCATCTCATACACAGTAGCTGAGTTCAGAAGCTCTACAGGGATGTGCACCAAAGGATTGTGTATGTCGTAGTATTGGTAAAGTAATGTAAGCATAAATGACACTTTGCAAAAACCTGCCAAAATACAAGAGTCTCAAAACCAGGAGCCTAAACTTAGGCTTCTAAATCCATATTTAGCCACCTGCCTGATTTTGAAAGGTACAGAGCACTCCACATTGATATCAGTGGGAGCTGTTGAGGGTTCAGTATGTTTGAAAAATCAAGCAAATGTCTGATATGGATGTAGGACCCTAACTTTAGGTTCCTGTTTTAGGGTTTTGTCAAGATGTCTGCTCTGAGGAGCCTACAGTCTAACTGAAAAAGGATTGATGGGATAATATTTGAAAACAAAAATGCCTGGAGACACTGCTCGTGAGGATATATAGGCAGGGTTGGGGAAAGTGGAGGTTTTAAGGACGGATGAGATGAAGTAGGATGTTTGGTGCACAGGAATTGGGAGGCAGTTACAAGTGTAATTGCAGCCTGACAGAAGGTGAGAAGCTGCAAGTGGCAGGAGACAAAGAGAGCAGTTAGCGGAAGAAGCTGTATAGTGTGGAAAGAGAAGAGAAATGTATGGGGTGGGGCAGAACCTCAAAGGTGAGGATGAGGACCTGGAACTTGATGTAGATGGAAAGGGCAATTGTGTGACATGAGTGAGGAAATGGGTGAGGTGGTCAGAGCACAGGGAGATGTCCTTACAATGGTATTTTGGATGGACTGAAGTATGGAAAGAGGAGACGCTACAAAGACAAAGACGAGGGGGAGGTGCAATAATCTAGGTGGGAGCTAAATAAGACTTAAACTGGCATGTTAGCAATAGGGAAGTAGAGGAAAGATGGGTTTTAGAGGCAATACAGGGATTCTTTCAGCATTTACTTTCACCTCATGTGATAGAATACTTGTGTTGCAACTGACAGTCACAGTAGAAATTGAATCTAAACAAAATCCATTCTCTTAGCTTCTTCTCTCCTAGGTTCTCATCTCATTTTTAAAACCATACCTGTCCTTGCTGTCAAAGTGTAATCAAAATCGGATACTAACGTTATGCTTTAACAAAACCCCAGAGGGAGATTATAGAAGGTTCAAATAAAATTAACGATGCACTACAGAAGTACAGACTCGATATTTTTTCAGAGGGGAATTTTCATCATCTGTGCTGAATGTAACCCGTTCTTTTGGTAACTAATAACACTGTTCTGCCTAACAGGTGCGGTATCAACAACATGTTCCCCTTACATTTAGCAGCACTAAATGCTCACTCGGACTGCTGCAGGAAGTTGTTGTCATCAGGTAAGTGAATCCAGCTGCGACTGTGGAGCTTAATTAAAATCATGAACATGCTGCTTATGGCCCCTGTTTTATTCGGTGTTGTGAATTGTCCAAATGAAAGACTTCCTGTGCTGCTTCATGTGATTGTGTTGCTTGGCATACGGGAGTGTGTGTGGCTTTCCTAACTGCATGCTGATAATTACTTGCATCCTGTATTGTTCAGGCCTGAAGCCCTTTGAATGCTTTTTTTTCCCCCTGGCAGTCACAGAGAGTTTATTTTAATTCACAGGGAAGGGGAGGAAAGGGAAAATCCTTTACCAAGCTGTAAAAATGTGAGATACTGTAGGTTCTTCGGGAAACAAACAACTCTAGGCCCTGATTCAGGGGAAAGCACCCTTATTGAGGACAACATTTGAGCAAATGCTTACATTCCGTTGAAACTGATGGGACTAAAACACATGCTTTCCTGAATCAGGGCTATAGTAAAGAAAATGGGATAGCTAAAGGTCTGGGGGGGGGGGGCAGGGCAGGCAAGTATTAGTTTGCTGATATTGCTCTTTCAAAGAGAGTAGTAATAAGGTGCCAACTCTTGACTTCCTTATGCAGGCAGAAGTTCCACTGAGTTCAAAGATAGAGAACAGTTCATATATTTTCCAGAAAAATATATCATTCCTTAGCATGTGAAACCTCCCACAACCACTCTCAGCCATAAGGCTGAGTCCCCTGGGATGTTTAGGGGAAAAAATAGCGTGAAAAATGTAACTTGTGTAGCCAATTACAGCAAACCCTGATGTGCTCTGTCCCGGGCTATTAGGTCAGCGGGGGAAGCAGGCTACTTAGGCATCCCAGGGTTAATTCCGTAAGAATCTGCATTGGGTTTTACTTCTATAGCCTTGTGCATCTTTAAAAACATGTGTTGCACATTCCTGGAAGCATCCTTCCAGAATCTAAAACCACCCTGGAAAACACACAAATAAATAAAATTCAACTCCCTGCATGCTAGGGCTCACTCTGTGCCTCTCCTCATTTCATCGTTTTTTTGTGCCTGCTATCACAATTCTCTCGATAAGAATCCGCCTCAGAAATGCCTGTCACATGATTTAATAGTTATGTAGCCCAAGGCTAAATGTGGAAATAGATTCTTTTTGACTTCACAGTTCTTTTTATAGAGCCACCAAGCTTGAGCAGCCACTGTCCGTTTCCATGACAACCACTTGCTGACTAGAGTTGCTTGCATTCTGATTTTTCTAACTCACTGTTTTTTCTGTCTCTGCAATGTTTCTTGTGGTTTAACTAGGACAAAAGTATAGCATAGTGTCCTTGTTTAGTAATGAGCACGTGCTGTCTGCAGGCTTTGAAATAGACACCCCAGATAATTTTGGAAGAACGTGCCTCCACGCTGCTGCTGCAGGAGGGTGAGTAGTTACAATTATAGCTGTTATGCAAGTTGTAATTTAATTGTGGAGTCAGTGTAACTCAAGCCAGCTGTACCATCTGCAAAGGAATGTGTTCCAATTAAAGAGGAGCAAAACAATTCGATGTAAAATCTTTCTCTCTCCAGGCTGTGTTCCGCCAGCATTTGGTAAACTGAGGCTCAAATTAGGGCTACTTGTAGTTTGAGCAAGGGTGGTAGGACCCGGTCTTTTATTACAGAAGGCTAGTTTGTGATTTGAAACGCACACCTCTGGGAGGGAGTAACAATCCCCCTGTCTTCTGCCTATATGCAGACTGCTTAGACTTTGGGTCCAGGTCCCAGGAGCAAGAGAGGCTACACACTCACTCGCTTCTTCCCTGATTGCATGGGTTGGACTCTTGGCTCCATGCCTCTCACTCACTGGCCAGTACTGCCACACCAGCATAGGAGATGGGGTTGTAGTTTAAGCCTGACATGGGGCCAGCAGTAAATGACCATCCCTTGAAGGTGGATGCGGGGAAGGAATAGCGGCTCCCTGAGATGCTCCTGGTGGGGTGCAGTTAGGCACTGCCCTCTTGTTGTGTCCTTGAGTCAAAATCTAGTTATAAAAGAAGCTTTTTAAGGCATTAAAATGCCACAGTCTTTTTTTCCAGGTTGCAGTCATAGAAAGATTATTTTAAGCCTCTGAAGCCCATTGAAAGTAACCGAAATACAGAATCAAAAGGTTTTCATTTCTGAGGATTCAATTCAGATAGGTGGTAGGATACTAGGAGTGAAAATGAATGAAAATTAAATTATGTCAGTTTCATTTGTAGCCCTTCTGCCAAGTTTCTTTCAAGATTTGCTGTTAATTCCCAGTGGATTTGTTTGAAATTAACACAGAAAAAGCACAGATCGCTTGGCAAGCTATTGTTTTCTGGCTCTTCTGTTGAGGACTTGATGGCTCAGAAGATCGCTAGATGGAGCCTCTAGAATCCATCCTAGATTGGCAGTGGTTGTAGTGACCAGATATGGTAATTACCTGGTGACTATTTGGTAACCTTTGTAAGAATGAGTTGTCAGCTCACTTCTTAGTGGACCATTGTCCACTTCACCAACGTCGTCACCATCAGAGGTACATAATGAAAGTGTTCCAAACACGGGATAGGATTGCTCTTGTTAAACATTTATTTAATACAGTTAACAGAAGATATATAGTAGTTGGATGGACTGAATTAGCCTGACAGAGCACTCTTCAGAAAGTACCTCTGCTTAAAGCTGAACTCAAAATAATACCCCAAGTGTCTGAAAGAAAGGCACTGAAATAAGAGGCAAAAATTGCTCATGAAAATAGATCAGTTTTTATCTATGGCTGACTGTAATTGTCATCACTAACGAGAACTCTTATTTTGGGTTCGTTGTGGGGAGCATTGTGTAGATATTTTATACACTGACAATTTTAGATTGGGATGAACACCAGTTTTGTTCCATCCACTTCTTTTAGACTGGAACTGGAGCTGTACATAAAACACATATTTTCATCTTGATGCATATCTCTAACTCCCATTAACATTAATGGGAGTTATACTGGCATTGAGATGAGACTATCTTCCAAAGGATCTCTTTTTTTCTGTTTCCTAGTAGAAATGATTTATTTCCCCTCTGAATGACAAAGGAGTCTTGGAAGATTATTGTGCTTCATTACATGATCTTCCGGTTTGGTATTGTACATTTATTTACTTGAATTACAAAGACATTAAAATGCAGCTATTTTATTTTCCATTAAGAATCATTTCAATTTAAGCAATAACAACACATAGTTGTATCATATTGAATTCATTCAGCTGGGATAAAAACTATGAATGATCCTATCCAAATGCAATAAAGCTCTTAAGGATGTGCTTAACTTTAAGCTTTTTCTTAGGTCTCATTGAAGAAAATGGGTCTTAAGTAGATGCTTAAAGTTAAGTTTATGCTAAATGCTTTGCAGAACAGAGTGGACTTCAGCATATGCGAAAAAATTAATCCTGGCCTTAAGTGTTTTCCTGAATCAGGGCCTAAATCTCCTCCTCATTATTAGCCTAGCATTTTGTAAACTTGCTTCAGACTTCAAAAATGCTCTTGGAAAAATCCTCAGCTCAGCCTGGGAAGCATTAGCAGCACAATTTTTGACTGTCTCCCCTCACCTTGAATCCAGGATATATTTATTACTTTCTATTTATATTTTTGATTTGTTTTTACTAGGGCTGTTGATTAATTGCAGTTAACTCATGCGATTAACTAAAAAAATTAATCGTGATTAGTTGCACTGTTAAATAATAGAATACCAATTGAAATATATTAGATACTTTGGATGTTTTTCTACATTTTCAAATATATTGATTTCTATTACAACACAGAATACAAAGTGTACAGTGCTCAATTTATATTTTTTATTACAAATATTTGCACTGTAAAAATGATAAAAGAAATAGTATTTTTCAATTCACCTCATGCAAGTACTGTAGTGCAGTCTCTTTATTGTGAAGGTGTAACTTACAAATGTAGATTTTTTTTTGTTACATAACTGTACTCAAAAACAAAACAATGTAAAACTTTAGAGCAGGGTCAGCAACCTTCAGTATGCGGCCCCTCAAGTTAATGTGCTGGTGGGCCGCAAGACATTTTGTTTTCATTGACCATCCTCAGGCACGGCCCCCCCGCAACTCCCAGTGGCCGTGGTTCACCATTCCCAGCCAATGGGAGCTGCAAGAAGCGGCAGACCGCAGGAATGTGCTGGCCGCTGCTTCCTGCAGCTCCCATTGCCGGGAATGGCGAACCACGGCCACTGGGAGCTGCACTGGGCTGTTCCTGCGGATGGTCAATGTAAACAAAATGTCTTGCGGCATGCCAACGGATTACCCTGATGGGCCGTGTGCCGAAGGTTGCTGACACCTGCTTTAGAGCCTGCAGGTCCACTCAGTCCTCCCTCTTGTTCAGCTAATCGCTAAGACAAACAAGTTTGTTTACATTTATGGGAGATAATGCTGCCTGCTTCCTATTTACAATGTAACCTGAAAGTCAGAACAGGTTTTCACATGGCACTTTTGTAACTGATGTTAGAAGGTATTTACGTGCCAGATATGCTAAACATTCGTATGCCCCTTCATGATTTGGCTTCCATTCCAGAGGACATGCTTCTATGCTGATTATGTTCGTTAAAAAAAATGCTTTAATTAAATTTGTGACTGAACTCCTTAGGGGAGAATAGTATGTCTCCTGCTCTGTTTTACCTGCATTCTGCCATATATTTCATGTTATAGCAGTCTCAGATGATGACCCAACACATGTTCATTTTAAGAACACTTTCACAACAGATTTGACAAAATGCAAAGAAGGTACCAATGTGAGATTTCTAAAAATAGCTGAAGCACTCGACCCAAGGTTTAAGAATCTGAAGTTCCATCCAAAATCTAAGAGGGACGAGGTGTGGAGCTTGGTTTCAGAAGTCTTAAAAGAGCTACACTCCAATGAGGAAACTATAGAACCTGAACCACCAAAAAAGAAAATCAACCTTCTGGTAGTGGCATCTGACTCAGATGATGAAAGTGAACATGCGTTGGTCCGCACTGTTTTGGATTGTTGTTGAGCAGAACCCATCATCAGCATGGATGCATATCCTTTGGAATGGTGGTTGAAGCATGAAGGGACATATGAATCTTTAGCGCATCTAGCACGTAATATCTTGCAATGCCGGCTACAACAATGCCATGCGAACGCCTGTTCTCACTTTCAGGTGATATTGTAAACAAGAAGCAGGCAGCATTATCTCCTGCAAATTGTAATCAAACTTGTCTGTCTGAGCGATTGGCTGATGTAGGACTGAGTGGACTTGTAGGCTCTAAAGCTTTACATTGTATTATTTTTGAATGCAGCTTTTTTTTGTACTTAATTCTATATTTGTAAGTTCAACTTTCATGATAGAGATTGCACTACAGTACTTGTATGAGGTGAATTGAAAAATACTATATTTTGTTTTTTACAGTGCAAATATTTGTAATAAAAAATAAATATAAAGTGAGCACTGTACTCTTTGTATTCTGTGTTGTAATTGAAATCAGTATATTTCAAAATGTAGAAAACATCCCAAAGTATTTAAATAAATGGTATTCTGTTATTGTTTAACAGTGTGATTAATTGTGATTAATTTTTTTAATTGCTTGACAGCCCTAGTTTTTACTTGTCTGGAATAGCATTTCAGGCTTATCCAGAAATAAAGGTGTGATCTTTACAAGTTTCCTTTTTCTTGGTTCTTTTGTTCAGGCTTAAATTGCAGTTTATGCCCAGTTTCTGCTCTGCAAATAGTGAAATACCACTTCTTTTTTTGGGGTACTAAGATGAAAACTTTTGTTTTGCTCATTCTTTGTTTTCTTTCCTTGTCTTTTCAGTAACGTTGAATGTGTAAAACTCTTGCAGAGTAGTGGAGCAGATTTTAATAAAAAGGACAAATGTGGGAGGTATGTAAATTGTGAAGCTCTTTTTCAGATATATCTCAAAGAAAGAAAGAGAAAGAAAAAGCCCTCAATCTGGAAATCAATATGTTCCGCTTAAAAAGGTAAACTGTAAAAGGGGGTAGGAAATCACTATTCCCAATAGGATACTGCTGCTTGAAGTTAAATGCCAAAAAGGCAGGTGCAGACTATATTAAATACATGAAAGCCACGCCCATGCTCTTGTGTCTTTCTTGTTTAAAAATATCAGTGGTTTAATTTTATTCCTCATTGCTCTTCGCGCTGCTTGGATCCTTGTGCTTTTGTGCCCAAGATAGCACCTGCACGTCACTTTGGGGAGAACTACTGCTCATGAGCCTGCTTTCTAGACTTTCTCAGAGTAAAATAATGCTGGTAGTGTTATGACAGAAATGGATGTGCTGATTCAACTTCCTGAGCGCCCCGGATGTACATTACATAGTCAGCCAAACAGTTTTCACCCAGGCCACGGATTTAAAAAATAGGAGCCTACTCCATCTTTAAGCTCTGATCCTGGAAATGCATATGCATGTGCTTAATTTCACACACTGTTAGTAGTCCCATTAACTTTAGTGACTACTCATGGTGTGTAAAGTTAATCATGTGCGCATAGGACTTTGCAGGATTGAGGCCTTAAGCACCTAAACAAATTTTCAAAATGGCTGAGCTGTCAGCGGCTCCCAATCTAGTCAATGGGACCTGCTGAATTGGTCTGCCATTTTGAAAATCTAGTGAATTTTTCAAGAGCATAAATTATTTTTGTGTTATGGAAGGGGTAAAATTGGGGGCCAGATCTTATGCACTATGCACCTTTGCGGGCAGCAGTTTAAAAATTACCCACCACAAATCTCCTCCCTCTTGAACAATTTTCCATCCTTCCAATTAAAATTTCTCTTCCCCCAACCCCCCCCCCACCCCATTTTAAAATCGAAAAACAGATGAGCCTTGTAACGAACCCAGACATTCGTCAGATTTGGGCTATTTTGGACCACAGATGGGAAGAAATTTCAAATCCGTGTTCCACAGAATTCCCAGTCAAAAGCCCCCTGTCATGCTAGCCAGCAGGGAACCAGCTCAAATGCCTTTGTTTTTCTCAGTGGTGGCAATGCAGCAAAGCTAATACTGAAATGAGTTAGGAGCCTCACTTTAGGTCCCCACTTTTGAAAATCTTGGTCCCAATATGTGTGATTTACTTGCTTTTGAACTGCGATATGAGTAATAGCATAGTTCAGTTTAAAGAGCTGGATAGCAAGGAAAGTGTAATCCAAAAAATACTACAACTGTAACCAAATTAAAATGGAAAAAAATGAGTCTTGCCGTATTTTTAAATGGGTATTCTTTAAGGATCATTTGTGCTATGTATCTCAGAAAGGACATTGTAAAAGTTATAGCAAATTAAATATACAAGATTATAACTTTTAGGAGGTTTTGCTCTTGTTCATAATGACGACATAAACTAATCTAACATAAAAAGGCTCTAATATGTTACAGGCATTATTGGCATTCCAACCTAAAGGTGCAGTAAAGGGCTTTCTGATTTGTTTTTAAACCATATGCACTAAACAGACACAGTGAGGTATGTCACCTTTTCAGCAACAGCTTTGAAATAAAAACAAAGCTGTTCTTTATCCTGTGTAAATGAAACAGGTACAAAATTGAGAGCACTAGTAAGAAAATGAAGCATTCTTTGGTTATTTATATTTCACAACTTCCCAAAAAAATAAGTGAAACAAAAAAACTTTTTTTTTTGTACTGAAGAATTTTAATTGGTGGAGGTTTTTCGTGTCTTTGAGTGGTAGAAGCAGCCTTTGAAAATTTCATACCCAGCAGGGAACTCCTGCCTTCCCAGCAATGAATGTGCTTTCTGAATGATACTCATGCTTCTGAGTTGGGGATGCCAAATCTCTGACTCTGTGAACTATGCTGCACAATGAATTCTTTCTTGGATTTTGGAATCTGTCAGTGTGACAGGGTGGATAGGTCATTGCACAGCTATGTCACACCCCATCACAGTCATTGCCCATAGACTCTGACTGAGCCAGGCAACATCATGATGTTTTGAGGATTAAATACAGGCTGATGTTTCATTGTGTCACCCTGAGTTGAGGCAACAGGCTGCAGCTGAGCCTGCTGACTTAAAAAAGGGGCTGAGCTACTTTCATGAGAGGGAGAGACAGGGTACAAACCAGGCAGAGAGCTCTGGAGACATAAGAACTGCCCTTTTGGTGGTGTTTTGTTCGGTTTTATATTGCTTGTCTGGAGTTTAGACCATTAAACTTCATTAAGTGAATGTGACCAGAGACTAATTCTTGTTTTTTGGTTGAACAAGAAGCTGTAAATAAACCCCCAAATCTGAGGTTTTTGGGGGATGGGTGGGGAGGGAGGAGCATGGAGGTTGTTTTGTTTTACCTGAGACCACTCTAGGAATGGTGCAATTGGGACTCATTAGTATAATCCACGTCATGCTGAAGTGTCTGAAGTAATAAATTGCTATTTGTTTTGCAGGACACCTTTGCACTATGCAGCTGCGAATTGTCATTTCCACTGTATTGAGACACTGGTGACCACAGGGGCAAATATTAATGAAACGGATGACTGGGGACGTACTGCTTTGCACTATGCTGCTGCTTCGGACATGGACAGAAAGTAAAAAAGCTTATTTGTATTCCTTGTTTTTACTGTGTTTCCAACTCATTGTCATTTGTATTCTCTTCCTGCCACAATCTCATTTAAACAAACATAAACCCACTAGCAAAGGTAATCCTCTTCCTCCTCCTAGACACACCCATTATTGAAATAGCTTTGACTATAAGCAGAGTCATGTATGGTGCAGTTACGCTGCTGCACAATGTATGTTTTTATTCAAGTTGCAATATAAATCGCCAAAATGCTGCCCACCTTCTCCTGCTGAACGACTTCCTCTCCCATTTTGCCTTCCTGTTTCCTTATTCTGGTGGTTTTCCCACAAGAGAGAGTTCAGGGAATTTCCCATTCCTGCTCTACTGTTTTGGTCTTTTTAAAAGGACATAGCATGAGGCAATGCGAGGGAGATCTTTCCAGGTGTGGGATGACAACAAAGACAAGCTATTGCCAGCATACCCATATGACAGTGGTGGAATAGGTCCGAGGGTGCTGGAACAATATGTACAGTGGAGGTTTTAAGAGCCATTCAACCAAACTGTAAATCCTGTATATCATGGAAACCACTTCAAGCCAGGCAGTGCACCTTCATCCCTAGTTTCAGCACCTATGAGTTAGGCCCCTTGTGAACATCACTGTGTGGGCTGACAGAAACAGAACCCATTGGGGGTGAGAGGCTGCTAAGCAACTGGGGACTCAGCAGGAGAGGTAAGATTCTGTGTTCCAGCAGAAAAGTGGGAACAGCCACTGGCAGAAAAGACCACTGTACTTGTGGGAACTGGAGGTCCATTGGTTGGAGGTGTTATGCCATGCTCTTAAGCCAATTGGGAACAAAGTCTGATTCTAGTGGGGTTAAGAAACTCTCCGCAACAGCTTCATTAATGACATCTCCATCTCCCCTTCTCTCAAATCTCTGGTTAGTCTGTACAATTTCTAATTCTCAGTTTGTTCCATAATTTGGTGGTGTCTGCCCTATGACAGGAAGCATAGATCAAATGGCCTTGATTATAGCGTTAGGTCTCCTTTGGAATTTAAAACCATTAGTCTGCTGTTTTCATTTCCTGTTAGATATCCCCACACAGTTCTCTCTGTTCCTTCTCTGCTTCTCTCCTGGTCTAAGGGATCATTCACTTTAGTTTCTTATACATTTAAGTCTTGTAACAAATTGTTTGACATACAATTCATTTCCAGTATAACACCTTCAAAAAGCTTCATTGCTCTCTTTAAATGGCCTCTGCGTAGCCCCACTGTAGAAGGTTGTGTGCCAGGCCATTGCAAACCACAGAACCATTCCCTGCAGTAAAACAGATAGGAAGTATATGAACATCACCCTCAGATCCATATGGTCCTACCCATGAGGCAGCAGCAGGGTCTTCAAAGGACTGCACTTCCTGTACATCCATCCCTAGTATATGATAGAGTAGAGGGAAGGCAAGTGGAAGTTTCTAGGTATGTCTCCATCAGGAGCTGTTACTCCTTGTACTGAAACAAGTCAGGGCCCTGCCTGTAAACAGGCCCTGGGCCAAGATTAGGATGCATCAAGCCAGTTTTAGCAGCAGCAGAAAGCCTGATTCATTTAGTCAAGTCCCCAAACATCAGTAAGATTGCTTTTCCCTCGTTGCACTCCTGGTTGTTTCTATGGCTTCCAAGATAGTGAAGGGGGGCAGTACCTTCACATGAGACCTCTCCTGCCCCCCCCCCCCCCGGATAGAGAATCACATAAACTAGGCCAGCTTTGAAAATGATCTTCTTTGTTGGTGGCTTTTGCAATGTGCATATCCAAAAAGATACTAAACTATCAGGTGGCGATGGACCTCTATAGAATGTCTTCTTATGGAGTAAAAATTTCCTGTGAGATGACCCTTTCCGGAGAAGTTAAAAGGTGAGACACATGTTGCTGGACATGTCTAGCACTGTTGCTCATTCTCTGGCATCAGCAGTTATACTTCACAATGTTTTATGGCTCAGACTGTTTGGGTTGCCTCAAGATGTTGCACTCTAATGTTTTTGATTTGCTCTCTAGAGACCCCGAGGTAATACTAAATCTGTTGAAATTAGAAAACTAGATACTAGATCTATGGCTAAATCCCTAGGGTTTTCTCACCCATCTTTCAGACCAAAGTTGTCATCTGTCTCATTTCGGAATCTCCTCAGTCCTCTTATCTCTTTGGGTGCCAACCCCAGCAATAGAAAAAAGCATTTAAGCCTGCTAAGACTTCTGAATCTAACAATTACAGTAAAGACCATGTTTATCGGCCATGGTATATGTCATCCTTGCCTGCTGTTTCGCCTGGTGGTGTCATAGAGCTTGGAACTAATCCTACCCCTTCCCATTCTTTGAGAGGGGAACAAAGGAATTTAGGACTGGAAGGTGTGTCCTGGGTCATTGAGTCCAGGCCTAAATTACAGGCAGTCCTGTCATGTAATCCCAATCATGAATTCATCATGCTCCATCTCAAGACGAGTAAGGTTGTCTGACCCCACTACTCCTGTTGCTTACAGTTAGCACAGACTGTTGAATCTTGGAGACTGCAGAAGGAGCTCGCAGTTAGAAAACACTGAGCAAATTTGATGTGGAAGGCCCTGAGACACAGCACACATGGATGCATCTTCTTCTCTCCCCTCCTCCCCCTGTCATTTTTCACAGAAAAAACACATTTCACACTTAGTTCCAACTGGAGCATTGGATTTGAACATCATGGGGAGTGTTCTTGTCTTCTTATATTGTCCTTTTAGTAGCCACTGTATCACTTAGATGAGTGAATAAGATTCAAGAATTCCCTTACTGATCTGCCTTTAGTATGCTATGGAATGATACTATGCTTTTGTGGCCTTACCCTGAATTTATGCTGGATGATTATTTTATGTTCATTGCCATTTTGTAGGTCGTCATGACTATTTCAACATATGGAAAAAAAATTCCAGAGATCAGGCTATTTAGGTCCAAAGACCATTGAAGATGATTCTTCTTTGTATCCAGCCCAGTAATGAGCAGTTCAGGAAGGACTAAAAGTTTGTTCTACCAGAGATTTAGCTGTCTTGACTTCTTCTCAGTTGAATGTATCCATTCCTACACTGAGAATTCACAAACGCATTTTAATGAAATAGATAGGCCGCTTACCAGTAAATGGAGATTTCTGAATGTATTGCCTCTGCAGATCAGCACAGACTCTCCCTCCACCCCACTTCTTGAGACTTATTAATAGATTTAAGTGAGATCATCTGAATGTGGTTAGCAGATACAGCCTTTAACTGTGGCTGGGAATATTTGGGTCCATGGTCAATGCATGTGCCATCCTCTAACACTTTTATAGCATTGAATGGTTCATTTACTTCTGAGGCACGACACATGAGTAATAGTCAGGGAACATCCTGTATCAATTAATGGTGTATATTCTGCATATCTCAAATATCTATAATGTCTGAAATCCTACTGGATTTCAGACAGAATTGGGATCATTATTGGGTTACATAGTGTCAAATCTGGATGTGGAGGATGGGACACTGAATGTTTTGAAGAGATGCACCATTCTGTACTGCTCAAAATCCAGTCTGGAATACATGTGTTGGATAGAGACTAAAATTAGTTATGGGCAAATTAGTTTGGCAAAAAATCCAACTAGACCAAACTGTGTTTTTGAGTCAAATATTTGTGAAGGTTCATAGCAGTTCAGAAACTTTTTTTTCTTTCTTGGCTCTTGATTTCTCCAGTCCTGAGAGTCAAATAATGTCTGTCTACAAAATTTAACCCACTACCAGCCATCCCCACCAGACTGATCCCCTTCATGTAACATTGCCAGAGACACTCCACTTTCCAGTAGGCTCAAAAGTTTGAATATTTGTTCAGCCCTTTACATGTCTAAAGAGTTTTGCTGGAGTGTCATCATAGTGTTGCCTAGAACTTAAGCAGAGTGTGGGAACTGTCAGCAACCCTTCGAGAGCACAGTCAAGACAGGCCAATTTAGTGCTGGTGGTTAAAATTTCACAGGGTTCTATCCCTTGGTCAACAGGGAAGTACAGCAAGTTACCATGGGTAGAGGATGGAGATGGGGAACACAGGATTGCAAAGAAGAGTCTTTGAGGGCAAGGGGCAGGTGTGGAGAAACAGAAAGTTCCAGAAAGTGATGAACAAACTGGTTCTGATAGAAATCAAAACTTTTTGATTACTTTGGAAGTTGACATACAGAATGAAGAGCTGGTATATTTTAGGTGTGTTCAATGTTTGGGACTGATTAGCTTATATGCTAGGCCCTTTATTTAACCTGACTAATGCCAAGAAGTGGTCACTTGATTGGAGGAGAGAGTGGGGGTGGTAAATTACACCAAAATCACTGATCTGACATTTTGAAAACGAGTTGCATTTTTCTATCCCTTATGTTAAGAAGAAAGAATATTTTAGGTAACTCCCATGAAAATGCCGAAGAACTTGAAAGAGCCAATGAGATGAAGGAAAAAGAAGCTGCATTGTAAGTTTGGTGTCAATACAGCAGACTCCATTTTTAGAGAATCGCTCTGCTTCTTTGGGCTGCAGTTTACACTCCTATCTTGTTCACTCATTGCTCTGCTACAAATGCCTGATACTATTGGGAGTTAACCTGAGTAAACTGCCCTTTGATGTATAAATGTATTTACCAATTCTGTTTCCATGCTTGTTGCTTTCCCTAACTACATGTTTATTGCATTGGTACTCTAATAATTCTTTAATATCACACACTATTTTATTTAAATGCAATACACTGGGTTTGTATGTTGCAAGGAAAATATAACCCAGTGTCCTCAACAAGTATTACTGTGTTCAAATCTGATGTTTTTATGCAGTGTTTTTGTTTAAAATGACACTGTTGTTGATAATAGTTTTACATTAGTTTGACTGCATGGTTGTGACATGTGGAAGAGAGTGACCAAGAAATGGAGGAGATGGTATGATGGGATAACATGGTTTTGGTAATTAGATATTCATGGTAAATAGGCCCAATGGGCCTGTGATGGGATATTAGATGGGGTGGGATCCGAGTTACCCAGGAAAGAATTTTCTGTAGAATCTGGCTGATGAATCTTGCCCATATGCTCAGGGTTTAGCTGATCGCCATATTTGGGGTCAGGAAGGAATTTTCCTCCAGGGCAGATTGGAAGAGGCCCTGGAGGTTTTTCGCCTTCCTCTGTAGCATGAGGCACGGGTCACTTGCTGGAGGATTCTCTGCTCCTTGAAGTCTTTAAACTACGATTTGAGGACATCAGTAGCACAGATACAGGTGTGAGGTTTTTTGCAGGAGTGGTGGGTGAAATTCTGTGGCCTGCGTTGTGCAGGAGGTCAGACTAGATGATCATAATGGTCCCTTCTGACCTAAATATCTATAAAGAAAACGTTTTGAAATTTTTTTCCAGAGGGGTAAAAAATTAAACTCTGATAGATGACCCAGCGAGTACCCAGAAAATATTTGATTCAGATAGAGAAATTATCACTATCAAAAGAATTCAAAAGATATGTATTTAGGATCGTAGCTCATTTGCCATTGAGTTCAGAGTCAGCCAGCTACTGGATTAGTTTAGATACCTGTGATTTTGATCAGTAAATTTTGAACTATATCAGTAATGACAAAGTACAGGCACAGGATGGAGTCCAGTATCACATGATCTAGTCACATGCCCTTGCATGTTTTGATGAGTCATAGCAGCCATTATCCATATACTGGCTGAAGCATTCACAGGAAAACCCATCAGGTAGAGATAAGGTTCTCCTGTGGCCTATAGTGTGTCTTAATAGGCCATCACCTTGAATGGTTCATCCACAATGTGCCGGCTACACTGGATGTAAACTACCTTGTTGGTGTTACCCAGGAGCAAACACATTTGAAATACTGGTACATAGTCAATATCCATAACTTTAGATACAAAAACGATACATTCGTACAAATAGGGTCATCATATTCAGCAAATCATAACTTTTCCATTGATACTTTACATGACATACTTCATATAAGACATACCATAATCATATCCTCATGGTATATATGGTGGTGTCATGGTGTTGCTTTGGGATACAGAGTGTCACAGTATCAAACAAGCTACTCCAAGACCAGCAGATATTGCTGCACAGAAGTTTAAGGCAGGAAAACTCTTGTGTGGTACAAGATTCTGTAAGGAACATAATATTGAATAGCCAGCCTTTTAGAAAAGAGGCTTTAGTATTGCTCATAGTTGCAATGGAGATGATTCTGTTAAATGGTATGATCTGTAATTTAAATGTGTACATTATTCACAGGTGTCTAGAGTTCCTGCTTCAAAAGGATGCCAATCCATCGATCCAAGACAAAGAAGGGTACAACACGGTGCACTATGCTGCTGCTTATGGCCATAGACAGTGTTTGGAATTGGTGAGTCAGCTCAATCAGTACTAAGACATCCATTTTCAGAAGATGTTCACGGGCATGTTATGAACTCTACAGGATTGTTATTGTTTGAGCACCATAGATGTTCATGATGCTGAAGAAATGTAGAGGAAGGTACACTACAGACAAATATTCAGAATCAGATGTAACTTGGCATTGTTATGGCCCTTTCAACATAGATCCTTGATCCCTGCACAAAGCCAGAGTAAATGGCCCTCATGTGGGGGCAGACAGGTGGCATTCTCCTCCCTTTCTCCCACCCCGTTTTCCAGAGGCATGGAGCGCAAAGCTAGTTGTTCTATCTTGTCCATGAAGTCATGGGCATACTGGACGTGCTCCAGTCCCAGCTGTCCGTTTGCATTGCTATGAAAAGAGCCATTAAGGAGGACTGCAGCTGCAGGAGATACAGACCCAAAGCCTCTCTCCCCTGCACAGGGGAACCATAATGGGTTGATCTCTGGTTAGAAATGTCCTTGCCTATAGGAATGGGAGCAGAGTTTGGGTCTTTGTGTTTAGGTGGTGTTGAACATGTGGTATGTGTTTGTTTAAGGCTCCAATTCAACAAAGTACTTAAGCATGGGTTAGCAATAAAATACATGATTAATCCAATCACTGTTCAACAAAACACTTAAACACACAAGATCAATGGGACTTAAGCACACATTACATGCTTCACTGGATCAGAGCCTAAGTGTAGCATGGCTTTGGAGAGTTTTGATTGCAGTCAAAACATTACTTAAATGTGTTTTTTTTTATGTGGCTATTCATCATAGACAACACATTAACTGAATGATCTAATGAAGCTGAGTAATGGTAGCATGACACTCCTTACTATCAACTGCACAAAAGTGTAGTACCTTTTCTTACGTATTATGCAGTAATTGCAGTATTGCCATAGTCCATGTCAACATTATACTCCCTAATTTTCATATGTTTAACCATATCAGGTAGGGAAAGGATATACTTGTCAGCAAAAAAAGCAGAGTTGCTAGAAAATTATATAGTGTGAATTTATAAAAAGCTCTGAATTGTAAAAATGAATAGCATGTGATGCAGATTAGCTGAAGTGCTTGAAATTTGAAGTATGATGAAGATTTTATTTATATTGTTGGATGTTTTGTTGGCTCTAATCATACCAAAAATGGCGTAAAGTTGAGAAATAAAATTTTATGTGTACTCAGTCCCGTAAAACAGAGGCATCTGGTGCCTTTTTAGAACCTTTTTTTTGCTTCCTTGGTTTGTTTAACAGGCCAAATTATTTCTGTATTAAAAGGGGTGATGGCACAATACACAGGGACTACTTTTCATAATATGCATAGTATTAGTCACAGTTGCCATATGGGAAATTGTGTTGATGGTCTACATCAAAGTCACAAAATCAAGGAAGCTCTAAATTGAAATTTCCCTATGGCAGCTCTAAATCCAAGTTTTAGGTGGAGCATTAAGCCTTATTAACTCTCCCCCTTAATTTGTGAGCATACATGTCCCCTCTCCCTTGTCATTGCTGCCAGGCTTCCCTTGTTTGGTGCCTCCTCCTAGCAATGTTCTCATGTGTCCTGTCCTGTTTGGGAGGGTGTCCTTGTGTGGATCTTTCATTTAGAAATGATACAGACATGCAAGGAAAGCAAACATATTCTGCTCTGATCCCTCGTTCTCGTTTGTCTGAGTTCTGGGGCTGCACCCTGTCGCACTGGGTCAGATTATGTGTTGTACCTCCCAGAAGCAAGGGGGAGAAGACAAAGGGGGCTTTGTGCCAGCTTTGCATCTTGACCATCTTTGGCTGTTCCCCTGGCCAAAATGGACCCTGAAATAACTAAGGCAGTCTGAAGAGTTATAGCCGCCTCCTTGGTACTGCTTGTAGCACGAGCCAGAGAGGCCATAACGGAGAAGTTCCATCCCCAGCACATCCACTATGCTATGACTTGCAGTGGAGCCAATGTAAAATCATCACTGGTGACAATGCTGTCGTGTACCCTGATTATTTTGTGGAGAAGTGGTAGAATATTGTGTGTCTGGGTGCTAAGATATAAATCTTTACAGTTCAGGTGAAAAGGAACAGGAGCAGTGTGTGTTGTGGGAGACCCTGGCACGGTTTGGTTATAATTTAGTGTGCCCTGAACAAGAGAGGTATGTCTAGGATTTTGTCTGGAACCACAACCTTTATTTTAGCTATTGACTGCAGTAGATTGCCACGGTTTTTCTTAGTTTAACAAACCAGCCCTTAATTTTTATTCATTTCCCTTCATGATTTTTTTTGTACTACAAGCCCCTCCTTTTCCATGTAACACAAGGAAGAAGAGTAAGTCGTCAAATTCTGATTCCCATTCTTCCACCCTCCATGTATTCATTGGAGGGAAAGAAAATACAAAATCTTTTCTTCATCCTAGACTGAGATTTAGAATCATGCCCAATCTGATCATCTCCTCTACCATAAACAACAAGCGTGACTTGTAACAGGGGTGGCTTGCCCCTTAATGGCTGGAGGGCCTGGGGCCAGCCAACCCTGATCATTAAAGGAGCTAGACCTGTGTGAGAGCTGCTAATTCCCTATAAAGAGCAGCAGGTGGCTGCAGTGAGTGGGGGATTCTCAGAAAACAGGAGCCTGCGAAGTGGTAGCTTGCTTGAAGAAGCAGCTGCAGGGGGCAAGACTGGCTTCTGTGGAGACATTGAACTGTGGCCCTGGTTTGGGAAAGAAAGCAAGAACTTCCCAACTAAGGGAAAAGAGACACTTTGGGGTCAGAAGAACCAGTGCGTGTCTCAGGACTAAATAAATTGGACCCCAGGTGGGGAATATTTTAATTTTTCCTTTAGACTGCATGGCTTTTAAGGAGCCCCATGAAGGAGAAAACAGGGATGGGGAATGGCAGAGGCACCCCTGTCTGTGAGGGGGAGCTCAGGAGGCAATAGCAGCCACACTGCTACAGATTGGTGCCGTCGCCAGGATCTCTGAACCCCTTCCTGTCAAGGACGGAAGCAACAACGGGGTAGCGCTGGAGAACAAGATGGAAGAAATACTGCATTATCTGATGTGACAACAGCAAATCCAGGTTGTCCTCTTGCAACTTCTGCAAGATCAGCAGACAACAGGAGGTGCTGTGGGTAGCCCAGCAAAATCAACAGCACGTGATCAGTGGAAAGGTATGCACTGGGCTTCTGTTTCTAGTGTGGGAAACAAGGACAGACTTGTTTGAATGCCCAGGGTGGCCAGTTTGAATGCCCAGGGTGGCAACCTGATTCCAGAGGTGGTCCAGTCAGAATCAGAGGAATGCTGAAGGATGGATCGGAGGAAAGGGGGGAAGAGGCCACCTAAATGCTATAAGTGTGGAAAGGCTGGGCACATTAAGTCTGCCCTTTGAAGAAGCAGTTGAGGAAAGCCCTGCAGTATAAGGAAGATAATCCCTGGCCAGATGGATGAAGGCCAGATGGATGATTCTATGATTCTAAGGGTGAGAGGGTGCAGCAGATTCCCAACACAGAGGCCTAAGGAGAAAAAGGCCAAGAAGCATTTTGTTGTAGCATCAGAAGCCCATAAGCTAGGCAGGGGACTGCTATAGTCTGCTGCCAGAAGTGCCAGCTCCAGAGGGAAAAATCGTTTCCCTAACCAAGGTGGGGGAGATGACACTGGGTTGGAAGGATGAGCCAGAGAGGATCAGGTACCGAGTAAAAGAACTTAAGCACAGAATGGAGGAGGAGGCTAATGAGTTGAATAAAGCAGAGCAGCTGCAGGCTTGGGTCCAAGAAGTCAAGCAGCAGAAAACGTCAGCCAGGAGCGTGTATGAACAGTTCACATACCTGGAGGCTGCATAAGGGTGGATGCTGCAGTCACGGCAGAACCTGGTACTGCTGCCAAGAGGTGTGACACATTGCTGATAGGGGAGAAGAGTGAAAGGCTGACCTTTCTGAAAGAGAAGTATCAGGAGAAAATGGCTGCATTGGAGGAGGCCAGGCAGCTGACCTTGAGGGAAAGGAGTGAGCTGGTTGAGGAGTATCAGGCAACCCTAGAAGAAAGAGATCACCTGCTTATCATGGTTAGTGAACTGGATGGAGAATTGGAGAGTGCCCAAACCCTGCAGTCCCAAAGCTGAAAGCATCACTAAATGGAGGAAAATATAAATCTCTTCCCCTCCCCCCCCCCCGGGGTAGAACTTGCCCTGGGGTGGGGAGTGCTCTTGGTGTGGGGAAGGAGATACAAAACAGGGTGACTTGACTCTTAATGTCTGGAGGGTTGGGCTACCTGTTACAGGACTCCTTAGTTAATGTTGCAGGAAGCATTCAATTCTAATTAACCCCAAGGTTGAATCTGTGGATTGATGCATAGGATTGCTTGCTTCAAGCATTCTGCAATTCATCAGACTTTCCAAAGGGCTGGTTATATTCATGTTTTTCTGTTTTATGGTGGTTTCTGACCTAAACTGTATATAAAAAAACCCTACTTCAAATAATTGGTCACTTCTTAATTAAAAGATATAAAAAGGAAGAGACGATATAAAATGGAGATAAATTAGTTAGGAGAACTGATCCATGTTTCCTTAAGCATCCTACTTTTATCGGCATTATTTTAAAAAAATTCCTTGGTTTCAGTTGGGGAAAGGATAATTGTCCATGGAATATGATTTTTTTTGGCTTCTCTGTTATTCATTGTGGACCCTATCCTAGGAACAAAGGAGCTCCCTCAACTCTCGTTAAGATTAAATAAATCATTCCAGATTCTTCAAATAATTAAGGTTAATTTCTGCTCACAATTATGCTTTTCTGTAAGGTTGAGGTTGCACATGTATAACTGAAAGCGAGATTCTATCCTCAAAGCATCAGTGATCTGAAGTACACTCAGAAACTCAGCCCCTCCGTATTCACATAACGAACAGGAAGGTGATTTTAGAAAAATGTCCAACTTTACAATTAAGATGTGTGGTGCACATATAATGCTGTGAGTGTATGTGTTTTATTAAGAAGTGTAAGCTTCTCCCAATGTAAAGCGGGACTCT